TCAATGACAATCCTTATCAAGTGTTGGTATTTATCTACCTAAGCCTGTTTTCTCTCATGGCTAGCCTTATGTTGCTTTTTCTAAGGTCAGATCAATGGATGAACTTAAAATACTTATACATAATGCAGCTTTTAAATTGAAGGTTGTCACAACAAATGTTGTTTTTAAGAAAGTTTTTCAAAATCTCTAGTGAACTCATTTTTTTGAGAGTAGCAAACGAGATTGCATTCATACTTAGACTATCATTGCCTATTCAGTGGTAATATACATTTGAGTGATTATAGATTCTTTAGACTGTCATGCTTTGTATGTCATCATTATAATATATTACTTTAATAGAAGTTGTAACACACCAATTTTTTTTTTAATAATTTAACTCAACCATAGTTGGGTTACAGCCACCCAACACATTTTTATATCAATAATTTCAATATAAAATATTTTATAATTGGCTTCAACTCACACACTATAACATTTCAGATAAATTTTTACCTCCCACATGCCATTAGGCTAAATCACATTTGTCCATCCTTATACTCCCAACAAGTAAACTAAATCACATTTGTCCATCCTTATACTCCCAACAAGTAAAATAAGCAATTTAGTCAATTTTCAACACAAGCCAGTTATTTGGCCTTATAATCATGCCATTTTAACCAATCCAAAGTAAACCAAATATTAAAATTACAGTCATCCAAATTATACCAAAAATAGAAATAGTTTGAAAGGCATGATTACATTTATATATTCATATAATTGACAATAAACAAAAAGCCCTAATATTGGCAATATAACACATTATAAATCATAAATTAAATACCCAAAAGAGACAGTGGATCTATACCACTAAGCCTCTGGGACTCCTCCACGTGTCACTCGTGGCTCTTCTCCTGAAAATTGTTAACCACATAATGAGACTCAAAAGTCCCAGTAACCAAAGCCAATTTATGATAGTGTATACAAACAGTCAAGTGTGTGCTTACTAAGTGAGAATTAAAAATAATATAATTCCAACAAATATAAGAAATATTACAATACACACAAACAACCATCCTTATATCCCTCCATTAACCTCGAGCCGTAGCCCTCACTCGGTGCTAAATTACCCGGCCAAAGGTAGATTAGCTCGAGCCCTTACAAACCACCTATTGAGCTCCAATAGGGGCATACCACGTGGCACATAAATACAACAACAATAGCAAGTCTCCCAACACCTCCCACACTAATCAAATAAATTTATAATAATATTGCACAATTATATAATATTACAAAATTTATAATTTTCTCAATAATCACCCAATTAACAAGAAGTAACACTAATCACAAATTAAAAGCATGGTTACCTTGTGGCTTTTTCAATAAATTATTCCTTAAAATTTCTCTCTCACACAATCTTCACCAGTAATACAATCTACAAATAACATATTATTTATAAATATTAGTTTCAATTTTTGAAACTAATAAAATAATTCTAATAATAGAATTAAAAATATAACATAATTTCTAATCTCAATCTTAATACAAATCTATAATTAATACTATTAAGTATAATTTTTAACTCCTCTTTTAATTATCAATAAACATTAATAATCTAAAAATCAACTTCTAAACTAATTTCTATTATCAAAATTTTCTTTTTATTTTATAAATTCGCACCTAAAATACTCAAAAATTAAAAATTGAGTCTCTAGCTTAGAATCATAATCCTATAGCCATAATAATTCATTTCTCATCCCAAATAATCATCTAAACCTCAATAAATCAACATATATTTTCAGATCTAGTTTAGAATTTGATCCATAAGCCATAAATTCAAAGATCATCAATAAATTTATACTCTAGAACATTTATTATACTACTGACAACCTCAAAAATCATATTTATTCAACATAAATTCATCCCTCTTCCAGATCTTAAATTTTCTACCACTACAAACTCAGAAACCAAAGAAAAAGGATAACTAAGAAAAAATTTTAGAACACTTACTTAGTCTTGAAAAGCTTAAAATCACACCCTGAATATCCTATTAAAAACTCTTACCTTAAAAATTTAGATATTTCGCACCGGTGACTCGCGTTCTCTCCGCCTCAGCTCGCGCGCAGGAATGAATGAGGAAATGAAAGAAGGTGAGTTTTTATAAAAATTCAGTGGGTCCCACATATTTTTTTTATTCTTTTCTCTCTCTTCTTTCTTTCTTCTTCTTTTTTTTATTATTATTATATTTTACTGTTGAGGCGGCGGCTGTGTTCACGTTTTCTTCCTTTCTTTCTTGTTTTTACACCTTTTTTTTATTATTATAATAATAATTTAATAATATTATTTTTTTTAATTATTTTTTTTAAATTATTTTTTTTTTAAATTTCTATTAACTCAAATTAACTATTAAAATTTATATTGGGATGTTACAGAAGTTGCAATCCTTATTAATTAGAATCTTCTACTTTCACTTGATGTTCCACTACCTTAATAACAACATATTTCACAACATATATTTAGTGTTTAAATTGAAAGAGATAAAAGTTTGGAAAATAGAAGATTACAAGAACTAATAAAACATTGATAAAGTAGACAGAAAGTAACATAATCAAGAAATGGGTCAAGACAATGGATATTGAATTCACAACATATTAAAAGGAAACTATAGTATGTGTACATTCATTATGTACTAATTACTTACAATTGAACTGTGTTTAGGATATAAAAAAATGACTGATAATTGTATCAATAAATAAATTCAAGTAAACATGACCCTAAATAGAAGACCCATTTGCAAAAGGATTAGCCAAAAAATGCAGAAACTAAAATATCAACAATAAAGCATCTTGAAAACATCTTCATATGCAGCGATAAGAACCATATGAATGAACTCCATATGTTTCTCCTCCAAAGAGATAAACAAATTCACTGTCATTAGGATTGATTGAATTAAAAATCACGCTACTAACATTTGCATATGTCTTGATCACCTTCTTTCCTACATATTTAAACTCTTGATGTTAATGAACAACTAAGAAGATCTTATCCAAAAAAAAAAAAACTAAAAAACTAAGAAGAATCATTACTAATTATAAAACAAAGGCATCATAGTGTGACACACAACATTAACATCCTCATGCCCTGTACTATATCTATTCAATGTGTCAATAGCTAAGTCATTAAATAGAATGCATTTGATCTAATTATCCCTGTATTCAAAACCAATGGAGTGAAGAAAAATATTAGGTCAAGTAACAAAATTATAACATTAAAATTTTGCACCTTATAATAATTAATAGACCTATTATCTCTCATAAAGAACTTCAATTTTGGCTTGAAACCATCTTTTCTCTCACAGAGCTTGAATTGATTCATCTCATCAACAATTTCAATTACACTTGAAATCAAACTAATAGATATATATCCACAATTGATTTGAAGATATTTAACATGAAATGCATAATTCAACAAACTATGATAGAAGATTACCTGTGAAATATCTCTTTTCAATCAGTCTCTTTAGGATCTCAAATAGAGGAATACTTTCAAATGACTCGCAAGGGATGTCATCCTCCTCTTTTAGCAAGATCTTTGTTCTTTCATTGAAAACAATAATAAAAAGATGATGGCAAGAGCTAAACTTTTTATAACCATTAATCAAATTAAAATTCTTAAAGTAGTAACTTCTCCCCTCCTGAAAAATCATTTCAAACTTCTACAACAAGCGCTGATCTTTGACCATTGCTTTGATTTTAGTAAGCCACTAGTAACAAGAGAAATCTAAAATAATCAATACGCTTAAACGATAAGGCAAAGTATTGCTAAAAAAAGAAAATTTGATGTTTTATCGAATATAGAAATGAAATTAATTATACCTCTTTATCAATAAGAATGAAGTTTAATTTCATTGTTTGTGGTGGGTCCGATGACCAAATGCTTTTACACGCATGAGTTACTCTAACAGTTATAATTACATTTTGGCATGGCCTTTCTAATTCAGCGAGAGCTTTATACATTGTAGATTACAGTTCTACACATTGTAGATAATATCTGTGGTCCTCATAAAAACTTTTCAGATAAACATAACATTGAATATTATAAATGAAAACAACACAAGATGGAAAAACAATTTTGAAAATGAAAAACTTTACCTGTTGTCAAGTTCCTTTCCTTCTTAGAATAAAGATTCCCAATGGAAATAACGGAGGAAGGATTGAAGAATCTTTGCATCTTTTGACGCAAAACAAAGACTTCTTCTTCCACAGACAGCGAGATTGAGAGCCAATATCTCACGACAGAGAAGACGTTTTTTATTCATATTAACCGTTATTATTTAATATTGCATTTAAGAAAAATAAAAAATGATTTTCAATGTTCTGAACTGTATTAATGAACAATTTTCATTCTCCATTTTAAGTAGAAATTCATTGTTGTCCAACTACTTATTAATTTAAATGTTAGGAAAGAGTATTATTTTAAAGATTAAAATATCATAAGTCACATATAATTACCCTTTTCAATTAATTGAAAAAACATCATGCTAAGAAAAAAATTTGCAAAAAATTTTATATTTAAATCTCTAAGCTGTACAAATTGTGATTGAAATAAAATTTTAAAAGTTTACATTTTCTAACATTTATTTATATAAGTAATCTATATAGGTCACACCAGTGTAACACCCGGGATTAGAGACTAGTTGGAATAAAGAGGCAGACGATAACTCAATTTTAAACGAACTATAAACCTTACAAAACCAACTTGTTTGAGTTTTACAGCTAATTTAAATAAGATGAAACAGGTCGAACCAAGGAGGGAGTCCCCTCATTTTTTCCCTTCCATTTTTTCAATCTCCACCATCCATTAATTTTATAATTAAACAAATTATTTAATAAAATAATTTGAATAAAAAATAGAAAAACATGGAGGGGAGAAAAGGCAGGGACGCCTCTCCGGGTCGAACCATTGCTTGCCTTCACGAATCTGACTGACGTTGGGCCGCCTACAACAGATTTTTTGGTTTTCGAGTAGAAGATACTATCAGTTTTTAGGAAGGAGGGGATCATCTTTAGGCCATGTTGAAAGAATCGAAGCCTCAACTGCTGAACCTGCATACTAAATAGGGAAGAGAAGCCATTGGACCCAAAAAAGGGGGGAAAAAACAACGGACAGGCAGGAGCCGCGAAGAACCCCGCAAGCCTCAACAATACGGGCAGCTGCAGCTTCTATTCTTTTACCCTGCTCCTTGCACCGGGGCAAAAACCTGTTTCTAATCCAAAGCTGGAATGGAGGACGAGGAGCACGAGGTGTACGGAGGCGAGATCCCTGATGTTGGCGAGATGGAAGGGGACTTGGATTCTCACAATGCCGACGTCGACATGTCAGCTGCCGACGATGAAGCTGTCAAGGTTTTGTTCGTTTTCTTTCGCCTTTTTCTGCCGTTTCTTTGCTTGTCAAATTTATCATGTATTAGAATCTTGCCTCCGATTGGGCCTGGATGATCAGATACTACCTTGATTTGAACAAAACTAGAACGCGATTCTCTAGTTAATCATGATCTTAGATGGGCATTTGTGACGGTGCAATTTTCTTTCGTTGCTTAGGAACTGGACGAGATGAAGAAGCGATTGAAGGAGATGGAAGAGGAGGCCGCAGCTCTCCGAGAGATGCAGGCCAAGGTCGAGAAGGAGATGGGAGCGGTTCAAGGTTTCCTTTTTTGGTTCCCGCCCTCTTTCTATGAAATTCTGATGTCTTTGTCTGGAACTATTCTTCCGACATCCGATGTCACTGAAGAGTGTGCTTTATCTTACGTTTTTAAGTATATTGACACGGAAAAGCTATTTATGATGATTGAACTACTATGTCATGTGCTATTGTGCTAGTTGATTCCTGCGTGAAATTCTAGCATTAACTTGTTAAAATATTTGGATTTAATTTTTAATTGTGTCCATTGGGCGTTCAGCTTGAGTTCATCGATCTAATCACATGACCGAGTTTTCTCGATCTCTTTTATCGTTGGACTGGATGAATATTATTAGAGATATCGGTGCAAGGTTTTCTACTGATTTATTTGTGGTGTATATTATTGATCTTGAATTAATCATTAACATCAAAATGCTGTGCTTTATTCATTTAAAAAGAGTTCTGTGCTTTATCCTCTAAGATTTGAAGTGCCCCCATCTGAGATACTGACTGGTCGTCTGGTCCTGGCTTGAAAGTTGAAATTAGAGTGTGCAACCGGCAACCCCATGCCATATTTCAAATGATACACAGCGTTGTAATATTCTGGAATATATTGTCTTTTTTGTGCATCGCTCAAAATTTTTAGTGTGAGCCTTGGTTTTCTTCCCCTTCTCTCTGTCAAGAATCTCTCGCTTTGCCAGATTTCATGCCTTTGAGTTTGAGATGATTAAAGTTTGACTTACGTCAAAATAAGGTCGTCAACTTTCAATTATCATATGCCAATCTTCTGTAAATTATTGTTAATTTGCACTTGCTATTGTGCTTTTATTGATGTCTTAATGCAAGAATTTAGCAGCCTTTAACTTCTTGTGTTTTCTGGGTTCATGGTTTTCTGGAAGTGTTAAAAACATTTGACAGAAAGCGTGCTGTACATTCAGGTGTATTTTTGACAATAGGTCTCATTTTTTTTCACATAAACTTTGCTACCTTCAGGGTCCATGTGTTGCTTGCTTTATACTTCTATCTGGCTACCTTCGTTTTTAATCGTTTTTAAACTTCTTGATTGAATTTGGTTTGTAGATCCTGCTAGTGCAGTTGCTTCTCAAGCGAACAAGGAGGAGGTGGATTCTCGATCTGTTTTTGTTGGCAATGTATGAATTAACTCGATTTGCTTTATTGAAAGCTTTGCAATATTGACTATGCACTCCATAGAAAAATAAAATAAAATTAAGTAATAGGTTTGAAAATGTAATCAGTTTTTTTCTTTTGGAGTGAATACTGCTAATCTTTTGTGACAGGGTTTGACTTCATATCTCACTGATCGCAGGGTCAATCTTATTACTCAAGTTCTATAATTAGAGCAGGGATGCTTTCAATGTATTTTGTGGGTGGGCCAATGTCAGTTGGTTTTGTTAGGCCTGCTCTAGAGAAGAAAGAGACTGCATATTGTGCTTTTGATATTTAACAAGATTCCAAAAGAGAGAGTATTAAAAGTCAGAAGAGAATGAGGGAGAAAAGACTTGTCATTTACTGGGAAAAAAATGGAAAAGGATGAGAAAAAGATATAGAAAGAAAAATAAAATAAAAAGGAAAAATACTGTCAATTTGAGAAAAAAGAAAAGAAGAGAAATATGAAGAATCAATAAGAAGTAGCGTAATATTGTCCAATTTTTGTGGAAATGAGTAGTACTGTCGAGAGATAAATGCATGGTGGTGAAATCGCAAATAGCATCTCATGGGGATGGCAGAAACGGGAACAGCTGGAAGTAGAATGTCATTCTTCAACCTCAGTTCTCGAGGAGACGACTTGTTTTTTAGCACAAGCATTCTGTAAGTGTTGGGCATGCAATTTTAGTCATGGTGCTTGTTGTGGGTTGTGGTGAGGGCTAAAGGGCCTGTGTTAAGTGTCACATAGCAGATGTGGCAAGGGGTACGCAGCAACAGCTTCGTGTGGGGAACATAATTTTTTACTCGTCTCTGGATAAGATTATCTGATATCTTTTTGGTCGAGGCCTTTTCTTCCTCAATTTTGAGTTGTTTTGCTGATATCTTTTTTGTTGGGTCTTTGTCACATGTAATGTCCTCCCATTCTTTTATCGTGTTTGTTGAAATCTCATACTGCTTTTACTTAAAGGGTTGCAATAATAGGAGAATGGAGGAAAAAGTTTCCCCCCTTGAGATTGAAAAGAGGTTGGTGCTGTTTTAAACTTGCAACAAGTAGGAACTTAACGGTAGAATGGATGGAAAAGGTTTTTCTTGAGATTGAAAGGACGCAGGAAACTGATATAATGTTATAGGCATTTGGAAGTTATGCTACGCACACTTTGTTAATTGACTCTGGTTTTGTCTAGTCATGCATACATGTGGAATGTCATCAGTTGGCCTGAGTATGTGATTTTTTGGGTCAGAGCTGATGGGTTCTTTATGATGTTCCCTGGGACTCGGGGGAAGTATGTTGCCTAAACTCATTGCTGGGAAAAAATAACACCACATGTTGTTTTGGAATTAGCCGGGGGTTTGACACCTTATGTTGAAAAGGAGAGTCTTGGACACCACACTGCTTTATTTCCCCCAGCTCCCCCCCCCCCCGGCCAGGCCCAAAAACCCAAAAAAAAAAAAAGTTTTCATTTCAGATTTGCTTCTAAGGCAACAATTTACGATATAATCAAGAGAAACAATAAGTTCAGCTTTGGAATGTTATATAGGTTATTCCTTACAATTTTCACAGTTTCCCTATTGAATAACATGTTAGTGCATAATTACTTTTTTTATGGTTTGAATTTTAAAAGGGGTGTAACTGTATATATAGGGGTGATATCTTGAATTGATATTAGCTGGAACAATAGTCCTAAATACAAAATGTCCATATCCATCTGTGACCTATATTGGTGTGCTTCTAGAGCTTTAGTAAATTCTTTTTGTTATGAAATAATGTGGATGTCAGCGCCTTCTCTACTAATATATTGTTCATTTTTGGAATTAAAGTCCCTTGGAATTAATTTCTATTTTGAAGGTTGATTACGCATGCACACCAGAAGAAGTGCAGCAGCACTTCCAATCATGTGGTACAGTAAACAGAGTCACTATATTGACTGACAAGTATGGCCAACCTAAGGGATTTGCTTATGTGGAATTTCTTGAAACTGAAGCTGTTCAAGAGGCTCTTCTTTTGAATGAATCCGAATTGCATGGCCGTCAGTTGAAGGTATGTTCTTGTAACTGTTATATGTCAAGTTCATGCAAAACTGACTTTTATGTTAAGCGTAGAAGTTATGTTACCAAATGATAATAGATTTTAAATTATTTGGACTATATATTTCCAGGTTTTACTTAAGAGGACCAACGTTCCTGGCATGAAACAGTATCGTCCTAGGCGTTTCAATCCTTACCTGGCATACCGCTTTAGGAGGCCATATCCTCCTCCTTACTTCTACTCCGCTTATGGATATGGGTATGCTAATGCTTTCTTATCACTGATTTACACCCAGGCGTGTTATTTTTGATTTGTGTTGCTTAACGTTTTCGGCCTATCCAACTGCAGGAAGTTTCCCAGGTTTAGGAGGCCAGGCCGATACATGCCTTACTATTAGAAGATCATAAGCCGTGATGTTAACGATACAATGATGTGCGAATCCTGAAGCCGTGATCTGATAGAATTTTATAGTGCTAAATTTTGTTTTGTATTATATGGAATTTAACCCCCACAGAGACTTCATTGGGCTCTGTTACTGGTCTTGGCTTTAGACTTTCTAGTGGGTAATTTATCGATTATGAACCTCCAGTGTTTGCACTGTTTAAAATCCTGGCATGATGAGGCATTAATTACTTGGCGAAAAAGAAGCCGTGTCGTCCCATGGGGATGCAGAGTTGGCCCTCCATGTGACCTTAACTGTTGGCCGCTGGGGCTTTGGAGTTAAAAAAAAAAAAAACTCCTTCAATGGCACCCATTATGACTGGTGAGTTCGGTTCCATGGTAATTGGGAATGTGGAGTAGAAATGTAGTTTTCTAATTCAAGTCGGTATGTGTTCGCATGTGACCCCTTTCGCTTCGCCTGCCTTGAGAGAACGAATATTGATGGCCGGTAGGACCCGCAAGTGGAGTGTGAAATAAGCACAAGATTCGTATTTAATTGGCTCCACCGTCGAGAGGAATTCAATATCCATAGTACTTTGATGTGTATGCTTGTTGAACAGTAACGTCAATTAATTAAATGCTTTATTACAAAATCTGCTGGATATATTTGATCAAAATGCTCTTAGGCCATGTTTGGTATATCAGAATTGTAAAAAAAGAAATAAAATTGAACATGGAATTCTTCAGTTGGCTTGTTTGGTATACTAGAATTGCTTTTTTGAATGAATCTAATTTTATCAAAATTGATGAAATTCAATTCCATTGTAGAGATCATGAAATCCACCAACTCAACATAGAATTGGCTTATGTATCATTAAAAAAATAAAATAAAAGGTATTTTGAGCTTTAAAAGTACATTCTTTATTTTTTTTATTGTTAAGTTTTTCGTTAAAAAAATAAAATAAAGGGTATTTTGATTTTTCATATTTTAAATATATATACTTATTAAAATTATATCATGATTTCATTTTCATACCAAACACACTTTTAAAACTTAATTCAATTCTGATTTCGATTTCGATTCTATCAAAAACTCTTCTATCATATCAAGTGAGACCTTACATTAAAGTATGAAAAATCTAATGGGAATTGGGACCTAGCCTCCACGGCTCCATCCATCATCCTTTTCATTTCTATAAGAGTAAACTGGTGCAAAAATAATTAATGCTTCATTAAAATTGTAAAGCAACAATTATTTCAAGATAAAACAATGGAGGGAGACAGGGAGTACTATATTAGCAACTATCAAATAACTAAATCACGAGAGGTTAAGTATATAATTTAAACATAATCTCTGATATTTGGAAATCTTAGTAGTTAGGCTTAGTAGCTCAATGTATGTTAATAACTGATTTTACGTATATCTCCCTTATAATTCACTGCGCACTTGGTAGTTTCTATTTGGTACGTGCTGGTGTTTGAAATATAGTTCCAGGCTTTATTACAGTCATCTTGCTCTAACATTTTTGTGTTGGAAAGGATAATGGAAAAGGAAAACCAGGATGATTTAATTTTAAATCCAAAGGAAAACTGGGTTGGTCATCATGGAATTAATTATTAATTATTTTTATAATTTACCGTCACGATCGTCACATAACCGACGCCCTTCCTATTCCCATGTGACTGGATCCCATGTCATCAACAGGCATTAATAAGGTTCCAAAATCCTTACAAATGGAAGTTGTAATTTAGATGAGTTAAGACTTGAGACAGACATAGTACTCGACACTCGTTTATTATTATTCCGGAGTAAGAATGGTACAGACTACAGAGGGGCAGCGTGACTATCCTTGTCTTTTGCGCCACCTTTTTACTCTGAGAATGGTAAATAATTGAATCCCTGATTGGAAAACTCAGAAAAGGCGACGAAAGCGAAGATTACTTTACTTGCTTTGATGATCAGCGACAACTCCTCTCTTCACTAAAGAAAAAGGCTATAATCCACACAAAATGGAAATATTTTTTTTTCATGCTTTGCAGATAGATCTTTTTCCTTCTCCGTGGAAAAAAAGGTACATACGTCTGCTCGCTCACTATCACAATCCTCACTCTCGCTCTCCTCACTGCTATGTCGATGATCTATTAGCTGCTTTGACTAATTGCAAGCTGTGAAAATCATAACAAGGAATCCAGAGACCTCGGAATGGAAACTGAGCTACAAAGATAGTTCTAAATACCCTCAACCTTTTGTTGTGTAAAATGTTTATTCAAGCGTGCCAATCCAATTTTAGTAATTTATCTTTACAGAGACCAGGCCTCAAACCGGTCTTTGTACGTGCACAATCGCTAGTCAATTCCTAAATTCTAAGTGCTCCTCGCTTGCTAATAAAAAGAAATGTCTCTAACATTTCCTTATCTTCTTCTTTCCTTTCTGATATTTCTTTGGCTGTGCTGGAATATGGTGGCAGAGGATCCCGAGATTAACAAAATTTTAAACATCCTGCATTACAATTTATGGAAAGGAATAAAAATGCTATTTGGGACATGAAGATGATAAGTTTAGTCAGCGGAACTAAATTTGCCGCCATAATTCGTTGATCAGGTCAGGTGGAAGCTGAAGCTGTTGTCATTATTAACAAGCAGGTCAATGGCAGTCAAACCATAAATCCACGATATGGAAAGAGGGACGAAAATTAGCTAGCATAATAAATGCCCAATTTAACTACCAGCCTGACTTGGCCTTTTACCTCCCTGGGGCATACACAAAATCGCTGTCCATCTAGCCACCAATAATCAGCCTCAAAACCCCTAATAGAATACTGGTCAAGGGGTCCTTGATACTGATGGGGATACTCTCTATTTGTTTACCTTTCTTGAATCGTTCCTTTCACTTTTCTGCTGCAGTCTGCGCCCCTCCTCTCAGACTCCACTATCTCTCTCTAAACTTGCAGGCTGCCACCACATCCCCCAAATTTATGTGCCTATCTTCCCTCTAGACGCCATTAACACATAAACTCCACCTCCCCAGAACCCCATCCCTCCTTTCGTCCCTCCTTCCCTCTCTCTCCATCTCTCTCGGCGGAGGAAGTTTCAGAAAACTGGCACTCGCAATCTCCCTTGGCTTGCATTTATTTTTACCAGTTGCTCTTCTTTTGGTTTATGATGGGGAATGAATGACTACCATGTGACATGATAGGCTCTCATGGCTTCTCTTAACCCATATCATTACTTCACCACCATCGCCACCTTGCTTTTTATAGTCCTGCACCATCTTTTCTGTCCAATTTTTTGCTTCAATCAGCCTCAGCCTTCAATTTCTCGTCGGGTAGGCCTTTAAAAGCCCAGGGCTGCGTCTCCAATTATCTGCTTCTCATGATTGTGTTTCTGGTTTGACAAGGACTGTATTGGGTGTGTGTGTGCAGGACCTTCTTCTTGAGGAGAAAACCAGGCTAGGTTCGATCCCTCCTAGCTGCCACAACAAGTGCAACGCGTGCCATCCATGCATGGCGGTTCAAGTTCCAACTTTGCCTGGCCACGAGAGGCTCAAGCCGGGTCTGACCCGAATGGCTCCTATGGGTTTTTCCGGTCCATCATCCCAGAGCAACAGGTATTCTAATTACAAGCCGTTGGGTTGGAAATGCCAATGCGGTGGTCATTTTTTCAACCCCTAGAAATTGTAGGGAAGAAACCTTCTATCTATCCAGATTGAGATTATTATCGTCTCGAATTGTCCGGAATTGCCTCTGTTCATTAATTTCGCTGTTTAACTTATCAACCTCGCGCTTGATTAGAGGTCCATGGGGTTGATTTAGGGTTTGCAAATAGGCGTCGCTATCTCTTGTCAGCATTAATTGTATACGTTGAAGTTTGATGCACTTGTACAGAGTTTGTTACAGACTTGCATTTGTCTGATTTCTGACTTTACGGTGGCGTCAACAATCCGAGCAAGTTTCGCATTTGCCTCGCTTTTGAGTGGCAGTGGTTAGGACTTGGGATGGGAGCGGATTTCATTTTTCACGATCTCTATATATAATCCTCGAGCCATTGCGACTTGAGAATTGCGATACTTTTTCGGTGGAGATGACACCTCTATATCCATTTTCTTCTCGTTTTTGCTATGTAGCATCTATTGTCAAATGTCAATCTGATGGTGTTTATCTTCTTGGAATCCACGCGACCTGAGTCCAATTTTGTACATCGTTTTGTTTCTCTCTCTGCTCTGAAGTGTTTTGGTTTGGGATCACTATAAATTTGTGGGGAATCCTTGGGGTCTAACAAGGTGACGTCAAACCCCGTTAGGGGCCATTCTGTTCCTTTGTTGTGGAAAGACCAGAAAGACTGGAGCTTTATCAAACCACTAATAATTTACGGAGTGAGACGCTCTAGATGATTGTTTTAGCAGTATTTTTCTGTGTTGTGCCGTTATGGGTATCATTCTGTCTCTGTCTTTGGAAGATATAATAAAGGAACTTGGAGTTGCAGAGAAATGGCTCGTATGATTATGGAGTTAGATTTTGTAAAATAAAATAGAATGAAAATTATGGAATAAAATCAATAATCAAATATCCATATTTTGATTCAGTCTCCGAGAATTTGTATTAATGAATGTAGTAGTGGCTAATGAAATGAAGATAAGTTACAGGATATAGTAATGGCATAAAATTGAGGCTTGTTAGGGAACCCGTTACAGGGAAGAAAATCCAAGGTGGATTTTACTGACGCCGTGAGGAAAAGTGCTGGATCCATTTTTACTCACTGTAAAGTAAGTGCATAAGAAGATATTTTTTGAGCAGACACAATCGCTTTTGAAATTGCAGGAGCCAGGAGGAGCGGAGCTAACGTTCAAAGGCAGAGAGAGCAAACGAAAGCAAATCCCAAAAAGTTGAGATTTTTGTTTTTGGCAAATATATGAGTTGTATTCGATTTATATCAATTTTTTTATAAATATAATAAAAGTTTAAAAAACTAAAAAAAAAATAAGATTATTTTTTCTAACTAACGAAATGATCTGAAGGAAATTTGGATTCACTCTCTAACATCAAGTTAAATCAAATTATACTAGTTGGATACTAAAATATGGTTTGGCATTGTTCATACTCCTCTAATCTTATTTATAAATTACTTTTAATATGTTTCACTAATATCAAAGAAAACTTTAAAGCTCATTAATTATATTTTAAAATTTAATAAGTTTTCAACTTTACCTCTATTAAATATACACATTTTAATAATATATTTTTTCTCTCTAACATTCAATGAAAGGTAAAAAAATAAATTTATAATAAAAATTTAATGACGTAATTTATAAATAAAATTAAAAAAATTTTCTCTCTCTGCCCTCTAAATAGGACCAAAGGAAGAACTTTATAAACACTCTTGTGGTCTTGAGAAAAATAAGACCAACAAAACTAATCTTCTAATTTTATTTATAAAATAAAGTTAGTATTTGTTTTGAATTTTTATCATACTTATAGGCATCTCTTTGATTTTTATTTTATTTTTTTACCTATATTAAAGTACTTTATTTTAAGATATGCATGTGGATAGAGTTAAAGCTTATTAAATTTTTAGATAAAATTAATAAAATTTAATATTTTCTTAATTATGGTAAAACATATTAAAAATAACTTATAAATAGAGAACAACAAAGACAGTATTTGTAATGCCTCCTTTACATTACCATTCAAAACTCAAACACACAATCTAACAAATAAAATCTTTTAAGAAAGGTTGGGATCTCAATTCAAAATATTTAAAAATCATTTTTTAAACACTCAAGTTGTAAATTAGCATACAACGAAAGCATTACAATCATGCACATGAAAACTACAAAGGAAACAATTCAAACAATGTATTTTTAGCAAAATAGGGTTATGCACCGCGGCATATGGTACAAATGCACTAGTATTAGCTCTTGCCATGTGTCGCCACATGTTAACACATGTATCACGATATGTTGACACATACGCTGCGACACATATATCAAGTTTTGTTATCAAAATAACAACTTTGATATTTTGAACGTGTACTGTTTTTGCACCCTATATCCAATTGGGGTTATTTAAAAGCCCACACGAATCTTATTTTAAAATTTAACTAATGACACTGATTTCATTTAAATTTGATGTTTCATTTAAAAGTTGAACACCCAAGTACATTTTGATCAATTTAAGTTAAAATCTTCCACTTAAGCATCACAATTTAAAACTATAAATCATTGGCTACTTTTAATGGGACAATTTACACCTGATTGGCCATTAATATACTTAATATCTCACACACAGACACACATGCACATTTATTCAATTTATAGCCCAGATTATCACTTCAAACACACACACGTAAAGAGACTAGGACATAAAAATCACACATTGATATTGACAAGTTTATACATAATTATATACTTCTATGGTAATTTATACACAATCTCTTAGTCTAATACACTCATATTCATTACACCGAAACCCTTACAATGGATAGTTAGAGAAATTTTCTAATTTCAGCCCAAATCTTTCTCTTTAGCACTACTAACATCAAAACCTATAAAAATATAAATAATTACGGGTGAGATAATAATTTCAGTAACCAAAATAGTTCATTAAATGCTAGTTAACACAAATAACCACATATAAGTGAATAAAACTAAAGTAATAGTTTATATATTAAATGTAAACATAATTTTCACCTTCCTGAATATTTTTACACAATCACAACTACTAGCATGATCATCTATCTATCGAACCTTTAAAATCCCTCAACTTGAAACCATAAGCTCTAATGAATTAATCACATATTCACCTGAGCATACATTTGGTGGTATAAACACTCGGTCAAAGGTATTCCATTCTACTTCTAGACCATGGTTCCCCCTTCACATTTACTGATGATAGGGGCGTTGTTGACTTTTAACTGTATGCTTATAGGCATGGCTGCATGGGAGAGTTGTCAAACTATCTAGATGTCCCATGACCTCTGTCCCAAACTAATGCCGCACCCAATATCTCATGGTGCCAACCTGATATAAATTTTTGCATCGAATGTCCCATGGTGCTAGCTTCACTATATAATTTTGTTTTCACACACATCTCCACACACACCCCCTACATACACATAGAGTGAACTCCCATCCATTATAATCGTACTTTTATTGTGCATAAATCACCATTTTTTTGCATATTACACAATATATTTACATATATATTCATTTCGTTTGAAAATCATTAGTCATTCAGTAAGCATTTCAAAACCATTTTAAATGCCAAAACTATTCATAGTGCAAAACAATGCATAAAATTTCTACAAACATTGAAATCATAATTATATATTTACTTTTACGCAATTATAATAGTTAATAAATACATCAAACTATATAGTTATCACAATCCTTCTGTTCTTAAGAAAGATTACCGTGGTGCACTTCCTTATTCAAGTTTTTTTTTGCTCAATTTACACATTAACCACGCAAATCTACATAAATAACTCACCTAAAGTCAATTATCTCATTGACTAACAATATCACTTTCAACAATTAAACACCTAAATGCTATCAACTCCTTGATCTAAGTCTATTTCCACCTTTCCAACCCTACATGTCATTTACTATGACCTTAACACGCTCATTCTCAAGGTTTACCTATTTTCTCTTCCCAAAGTTTATTGTTAAAGTTTAACCCAATCACAAAGTCCTAATCTAACTTTGCAAAGTCTTTTTATTACCATAAGATAAGAAATTAACCCCTTAAAACATTAGAATTTAATTTTTTAATAGTTTAAACTAAGAAAAAATAGTGTGAAATTAGAGGTTAAGGTAGTATGAGACTTATCTAAAAAGTAATAGGTTAGAAATATCTCTCGAGCTCTTGAAATTATTTGCCATAGCAGAAGTCCCTTCCTTCTCACTCTCCCATGCCTCTTTTCTTTATTTTTCCTTGCATTCCATGAGCTTTCATGTTCTTATCTATCATATTTTTGTGTTATGTGCCACGACGCACTCATCACTAGCCTCACACAAGCGGCACAATGAGGAAACCCCTCACTATGCTCACACAATCCACTTTGTAATAGTGTTTTTTTACTATAATCTGTCCATGTAATATTCCAAAAGATCAAAACAACATTCCATCATTCAAAATCCTACTCATACGTTAATTTACTAATTCACCCCTATTTGTAATTAATTCTAGAATCAAGAATTCAGGATGTTATAGTATTTTTATTGAGGTAAAATGTAAATGAAAGGGAGAACACTATAATTAAAATAAGAAAACACTAACCAAACCTATTCACTTTAATCAAATTTTATTACAATGTACTATCTCCGCCCCAAGTTATAAAATAATTTGAAACATTATCATGTATATCAACAAAATACAATGATAAAATTTTACAAATTTATTTTTTAAAATAAAACTATAAACTTTAAAAAATGACCCTGCACAATTAATAATCATGTTAATGAAATCTTATTTTTCTCAAATTATCTTATATTTTATGACAATAAAATTTTTTTAAATTTATCTTATAATTTGAAATGGAGAGAATATAAAATGAGCTCGATAAATATAATTAATAAATCAACAAATTTTTTTAATATATAATAATAGAATTAGTAGAAGGCTGCTGTAGATCTTCAATTTTTTTTTTGGGATCGTAGATATTGGGCCTAAGTATGTTGGCGCGGTGGGTGGATCGGATTAGAGGGTGACAGTGGCTGATGTGGATAATTTGAATGAGTGGAGGCCTGGAGGGTGTGATGCTGGCCTAGGTGTGGGGCCCTTGAGTGGGTATGGTTTTGAACATGTACACCTTTATGTCGGGCTTCACAAATGGACTGGCGTTGTCTTGTGCGGTCCTAGTTTGTAACTTGGCTCTACGCGAGCTCTATGTGTTAATTAATCGGGCTGGGTTTACTTTTAAATTTTTGTTGAAAGAGGTATTTATATTTCATATATAATTATATTTTAAACAAAATTACCTTCCGAATGAGAACATTATTGTGCAATGAAAACTACAGTGTATTAAATAATAATAGCAGCTTCCATCGACAGCGTGAATACACAATATTCTATAATCTACAATAATAATTATTACTTTCATTTTAAATTATAATACACTTTTATCAAAATTTTATATATTAATAAATTTTATTAAATACACTTAACAATTTTATATTTTTAAAATAAAAATATAAATTTTTTAAAAATATCTATCATTTAGTATATTGAAAAGAGAATAGATGAAAATTAATTATAAAAAGAGAAAAAATAAATTTAAAATTGATACGTTTAATGAAACTTTAATATACGCTGTCACGTCTGATCCATAATTTCTCAAGAGAGAAAATTGAATAAAAAAATATAAATTTGGGAGTCGCCATTAAAATTTTTAAGAAGTAATCTTAAAAATATTTTTTGACATATGGTCTACATATAAAGAAATGGATAATGAAGTTGATTGTGTGTGTTGCTGAGCACCCCATAACACTCATTCATGTGAATGATTACCTTAAGTTAACTATGTAAATTTAAATGATCTTAAAAATATATTAATTATCCTTAATAAAAAATAAGATAAAAAGTTTGAAAATTAAAAAGGAAAAATTTTATTTATTCATAAGTTGAACTTAACCTAAAATAAAACTCTAAGGCCTATATATCCTTTCGAGAGATTAAAGCTCGCATAATTTGGGCTAAAAATATGTGTCTCTTGGTTGAAAATTTTTAGAAAAAAAATTAATTATAAATTTTATATAAAATATTTTTAATGCTGGTTTGTAGTTTTTATTTATGAAAATATTTTTTTTATTTGTGGCAAAATTCTAAGAAATAATTTTTGAAAAAAAATATTTTAATAAGATTTATGAGAATTTCATTCATTCACTTTTCAAAAATATTTTATTTTATTTATTTATTTTAGGGAAAACATTTATTTTATTTAAGGATAAAATATTTTAAAATGTACTTGAAATAACTTATTACTATATAAGATAAGTTATTTGATTTATAAATTTGGATGACTCTAAAAGTCCCAAACAATTGATGATGTCAAAATTATGTACATGATAATTTATCACTATGTAAGATAAATAAATTAATGTATAAAATTTGTAAGGATTTTAAAAGTTTCAAACAATCAAAATGATATAAGTTTATGAAAATTTTAAAAGTCTCACATGATTAAAAGAATGTAAAATGTTTTGTAGATACATATATTGATAATTTATTTATAAATTCAATTGGCTCAAAGTAACATTATATCAAAAATTTTCAAACAATTTAATTAATACACGCGCATATCACAGGGGCACAAGTAAAAATGTCAACTACAAAATGAAATGACAAATGGTATGTTACACATTAAAATTAAGGGTTAAATAAGTGATTTCCTCCAACGCACTTGATTCCTCACTAGAAGACAAAAGTATGAGATGAATATTGGAGAGTTGTTTAAAGGGAGATACAATCAACATCTATAGGATAGTATTTCCTATAAAGATTGCTATTAAAGTATTATAGGCTTGAACTTCAAGAGTCATTTTAAAACTTTATACTAATTTATAAATATGTTTATGACTTAAAAAAAGTGAATATATCTCTATAAATCTCAATTGATTTGCATTTCTGTTGCCTCATTTTTTATTTCTTTTTTCAGTCTCTCTAACTCTTCTATATTTTACCTTTACTTTTTTTATATAAATCCATACATCTAGATTTTTTTAATATTTCAATCCTATCGTCATCAATATTAATATTTTATATATTCTTATATTATTATTATTACTATTTAAAGATTAAATATTAAATGTTATCTTTCTTATTATTATATCATGATTATTATATTATTTTAAAATCTTTAAATAAAATTAGATTATATTATCTTAAAATCTTCAAATTATAATATCATATTATATTATATTATAATTATTTCAATTATTATATTATGATCTAGCTTGAATATATTTTTTTATTGTCTTTGTACCCAATTTTTTTTATATTTCCTTGTTGTAAAATATTTTTTTATTCTTATTATTTTTATCTTTTATTTTACTATGGATATTATCTTATTTACTTATTAAGACTAAGATAAAATATAATGTTTACATTCGCAAATTGTTTTATATTTTAAAATAATTTTTTTAAAAGTATTTTATAATTTAAAATAAAGAGAGTAATATTTTTTTATTAGATTTCTATCTATCGTATCTGTAATATTTTCTAATAAAGATCGGAAGACTCTTCATGGATTCAAACGCTAGAGATTGTGACGGTTTGCAGATTTTACCTGGTTTCCTCCTCTATCTCTCTGTTTTTTAATTTTTTTTGGTAAAGTGGCCTCATTGGTCTGGGTTTTTTTTTTATGTGAAAAGAAAAAGTCATTTTCTCAAACATTTTTTTAATTTTTTCTTGTTAACATCTTAACAAGTCTGCACTAAAGATCATACATAATTCATGCTCACTCATGTTAAAATATAAATAATTTTCATCAACTAACTTTAATTTTAAATAAAAATAATTTAATATATAATAATTTTTTTCTCATTTTATCTCTTATATTTATTAACTTAAATATTTAAATTAGTATATTTCTCATTTTTTATGAAGTATTTTAATAATTGGGATTAGAGATAAAAAAATTAATATATATGTTTATAAGAATTGAAATTTTATCGGCATGTAAATGTTTTTAAAAATGTTATTTTTTGAATAGAGGGAGCAAGTCGTTGCCCCAGCCACACGAATTGAAGAGATTCAACAATCATGTTCATCTCGACTCTCAGGCTCTCAGCTCTTATGGCATCTACTCTTACCTCTTCTCCTCCCAATCTCTCAACCAATTCCTCTTATCTTCGTCTCCTTAACTCTCGCTCCATCACCACCGCTATCACTACCAAACATCGGTTTCTGAATCCTCGAATCAAGCCGTTCTCCTCCAAACATCGTGTCCTCGCAGTCTCTGCTTCAGCTTCCTCTTCTTCTTTTCAAGCTCTCATATTCGACTGCGATGGTGTCATCCTTGAGTCCGAGCACTTGCATCGCCAGGCATACAACGATGCATTTGCTCACTTCAATGTTCGCTGCCCCTCTTCTTCTTCCCAACCTCTCAATTGGGGCATTGAATTCTACGATGAGCTCCAGAATCGCATCGGTGGAGGCAAACCCAAAATGCGATGGTTTGTTTATGTTTCCCTCCAAATACGTATTTTATATCTCTATGTTTGGTTTTGCTTATCTGCTCTTTTGTTTCGTTGGCATTCGTGGATTTTTAAGGTACTTCAAGGAGCACGGGTGGCCGTCTTCTACGATATTTGAGACGCCTCCGAGTAATGATGAGGATCGAGCTAAGTTAATAGAGACACTTCAGGTGCTTAATTTTCTCTGCTTGATGATGTTTGCTTACTTTGACGTTGACTATTTGCATTGCTTCTACGTGTCTTGTTTTGTCTACCATGGGAAACGGTGTACATGTTGCCTTACCAATCACCATATATACATTTACCATGTTTAGCAGTTGGAACTCGGGATGAACATAGCTCAAAATACCTTCCCAATATTACTTTGTATACATGTAGAGCGTGGATGACGTATTACTTTTGAGAGACCCAAAAAGACGTATTACTTCTACATTTTATTTTTGAACACTGAAGTGATTGTCATCTCACCCTACAATATGATCGACCGTCGTTATATTTTCCATTTCTTGATCTAGGATTGGAAAACTGAGAGGTACAAGGAAATAATCAAGTCTGGAACTGTAAGTCTACTTTAGTTTTCCTATTCTATCGACTATTCTGTTCGCCTCAAACGTGAAGGTGCTGTTTATGTTGTTAAGAAGCTACTGTCGAAAACAAATATCTTCTGGACCAGGTAAAACCCAGACCTGGAGTTCTGAGATTGATGGATGAGGCCAAGGATACTGTAAGATAATGTTTTAACCGTCTATTGATCTCTTCTTATTAATGTCTTGCCTCACTTGTATCTGCTTCTAATTTCTGGAAGAATCTGCTCTTTTAGAGCTTTTTTTTATCACTTCATTCCTTCTTATCACCCTTCTAGTTAGGTACATCTGCTTATTTGACGGTATTTTTCCATCTATTGCTATTGTAGGGGAAAAAGCTCGCTGTTTGCTCGGCAGCGACTAAAAGTTCAGTTGTTCTCTGTCTTGAGAACCTTATAGGAACTGTAAGCCCATTTTGTTATACACATATTCACAATGGAACTATACTTTTCAACATATATTCAACCCACTTAATTTTTGGTATTTTAGGAGCGGTTTGGGAGTCTTGATTGCTTCCTAGCAGGTATTAAAACCACTTTTATATCCCTTTACATTCTTTATATAACATGTTGGCGTTTATAGAGTAGTGGCTCAACACTCACACTAACGACCCCTTAGGCATCAGACTCAAAATTAATTTGCTGTCTCTTCAACAAACATACCCAAGCTAATTTTCTCCTGAAATAGCTTAGTTCTTCATTTTTATGCCATCACCGAGTCTTGCCAATCTTTTTCAGATGATATTTTCGGTCATAATACGTTTGATGAAATCCATTCAACTGTTTTTTTAAAATCTTTTATAACTTCCAGGTGATGATGTCAAGGCAAAGAAGCCTGATCCATCAATATATCTGACAGCTTACAAGGTTTAAGATTAATATATACTGTAACCTAGATACATGAAAATCTAAGCCTTCATGCATGTGCTAACGGAAAGGGCATGATTTACATGTTGTGTCTCGTAGAAGCTGGGTGTGTCACAAAAGGACTGCTTGGTCGTAGAAGATAGTGTAATTGGCTTACAGGTTATTTTCTCACCTATCAATGTTGAGTTGTATGTGCACTGCGCAGTTTGAACAAAACATGTTCTAATGCCAATGGCTTCTTTAATGTAACAACATTAACATGATTTCAAATTACAGATCTAAAATTTATTTCTCATTTCGATTAAGTGCATTTAATCAAGTTAACTAATAAACCACAATGCTTGAACTCTGTCTTTCTAAAAGGGGAGAAAAAGAACTCTTGAACTCTCACGAACTAAATTAATATCCACAGGCAGCAACTAAAGCGGGAATGTCATGCGTGGTTACCTACACGTCTTCAACAGCCGAGCAGGTGATGCATTTGCCATTTGTTCATATTAAACGAGAAAATACCGACCAACATGATTTTTAAATTGGATGGAATTGAAACCCATTGATAATGGCTGCATTTTGACGTATCCGGAGTCTGTTTGAATCTAACGTAGGATTTTAAAGATGCAATAGCAGTCTTCCCCGACTTGAGTAACGTAACGTATGGTCCCTTGCTGACAGCTCAGGTATTGCCCCGTTGGTTTTCCTTAAATCTGCTACTATATGTGTGCTCCATCATGCAGATTGAAAGATTTGGAGTTGCTCCTACAAAATTCAGTTGCTTCCAAATAAGAGACTTGCCTTATGTATGGTTTAAGCTGTTCCAGAATCGTCTCCATCAGAAGGTAGGATCGAATATTGGATAACCACAAGCTCAAGCTATTGTCTCTATACAAGTTTTTCATACTTTTTTTTTCCCTTCTGTTACTATTGATAGTAAATGTAATCATTTAACATGTGATCTAAGAAAAATTCAATGTATAAATTCTCAAGATCTTCTCTTGTACGTTTCATTTCATTAAATGGAAAGCTATACGATGATTTTCTCTGCCAGCTCTTTGGGTTCAGCATAGCAAAGTTGTGATATATTCTAATCCCCTTCCCTTGTAGAGTATGGCTTTTTAACACTCGATCCTCGCGCATAGAGGTATGGCATAAAAGAGACATTGGGATTTGGGACTGATTAAATTGGCATCAGAAGAGCAATCGAATGACTGTAGTTCTTTATCAATGAAACTCGGCCATCGGCCTCTTGGGGCCTTTGAAATGTGATTTACCTTTTGCGGCAACTTTTACGCAATTTTCAGTAGGTGGATATAATTTATAGTTAAAATAAAGTACAGTAAATTATAGTTTCCTTTATTTTATTGGCCTGAAAATCATGTCGATTGATTTGAATTGTTTTGATCTAATTTTAGCAGTTTAAATTTAAAACTTTTTTATTTTTAATAATATTTTTTAATTACATAAATAATATCTTCGGTAAAATTAAAAAATGTCACCCCCCACAAAAAAAAAAAAAAAACAAGAAGGATCCAGCTTGGCCTGGACTCTGGAGCAATAGAGAAGCCGAATTTATTATTATTCTTTTTAGTGTCACTGTTATAACTCGTGGCTGATTCTGCTAATCTCTCTTACGCAATGTTTTCAGAACTGAATTGAGTATTAAATAGAAAAAGTTAATAGTTTACAGTTCACATGATTAATTGAGTTAGACTAATGGTCAGACTGGTGATGTAATAATTAAATTAAAAAAATTATATATATATATATATAATTTAAACATAAGAAATACATATGAAATTGCTACTTAACTTAAAAAAACCAAATATTTTAAGTTTATTATGACTTAACAAGCCATATGATACAATATAATATCAAATGATTACAAAAATTAGTCATTTTTTTAAAAAAATTGATAAAAAATAAAAAAGTTTTCATTTGAATAGTTTGGTTTTTGAAAACAGAATTTGATTCTCAAGTTGATTCCGGTTTCTGGTCTAATTGTCGGTTCAAAACGGCTCAACTCCTAAAATGATTTTTTTATATGAATCAAACCAGAATTCAAATCGGATGACGGTCGAACTAGTCTGACCGTCCGATCCGATTTTAAAAACACTAGTCTTACGTGATTGTTTGGATTTTAATTGATACTTTTTTCATTAAAAAATATAAGACATTTTTAATTAAATTTAACCTTTATCAAAGTAGTTACTTACTTTTAAACTAATTTTATTTTTTATATTTATCCCTATTAAATATCTTACAATAAATATAAAGTCATTCATTAATAGGGGTATTTTTTTTTAAAAAAAGGAATGACTACACGTCGAAAGACTAACAATAACTTTCATTTTTTAACATTCAACTCCTCAAAAAATACCTTATACTTTTGAACAAAAGGAGTATATCTGAAACTATTGTGGCTTTAGAAATGCTATATCATTGCAATCTCGATTTATTGTCACGATATGTCATGATGTAATTTAATTTATTGTGATATATTTTTTTGATTCTATTTATAAGACACTTTTAACATATTTAATCAAAACTAAGAAAAATTTTAAAATTTATTAACTCTGTTTAAAAAATTAATAATTTTTTAACTTTACCTCTATTAAATATAGATACTGTAACATATATTTTTTCTCTTCAACATTCAATGAAGGATAAATAAAAAAATTTGTGATAAAAATTGAATGAGGTAACTTTTAAATAAGGCAAAAAAAAAATTCTATCTTCATCCGAAAGAAAGTATACAAAATTGTGGTTGGTTGATAAATAAAAAATACATTGGCATTTAAAATTTTAAGTGATTCGTCCGTGAATTGCATAGGTATAGGTGTCAATGTCAGTTACCCATTATTAGTTTATTTGCTTTGTATTTAAAAATAGGTGTTTGTCTAGTATTTTTCATATCAATTTCCTAAATCCTAATATGTCTAAACGCACCACTTCAATGTTAAAATGCGTAGTAGCATAGGTAATTTGAGTTAATGTGAACACAGTTGATTCCCGTGGGAGTTACTATAGAGTTACTATCATAATAACTCATTTGTTAATGTATAGTTATAAAAAGTCATTTTGTGCTAAAAGAATAATGTCTACTGCACACTCGTGAGTGTAGTTTGCTTTTAGCAGTAATTTTCAAGAGAACTTCCTTCTTATTATCTCTAGGCGAGTAGAGAATTAACCTTATCCATCCCAACCTTCCCAATTATCGGGTTCAAGATAAACAAACCAAGCAAGTTCTCATAGCAACAGAAATCTAAGTCATTGATCAAGTTGATGTACCCACTACAACGAGAATGGCAGAGCGGAGCCTTGTTTTAAATTGTCATCATAATCAACATTATTTAGTCATGATGATTGATAAGATGATGTGAGAAATGGTCGCATTTGTCCGGCGTCAAGTGTAGAAGAATGCCTAGCATCGCCAAGCAACGACTTGGAGGCACACGACCTTCCAGATATATGCACTCTCGACCGCTCGCGTACGTTGGGATCATTTGGTTTCTTTGTGCTTATAACATCGGTATACATCGTTTGAACAGCCTACTTAAACGCCCCAACTATCGGCATAGCATAAATGCTGCTAGCAAATTACTGATATTTGGGGGGGGGGGGGGGGGGAACCAATTGGGACGTTCAAAGTATTGTAACGGGAAAATAATCCCTTCTTTTTCTGGACAGAATGTATGCATACGATTCTTGTGTATCCAAGCATCATGTTTATGTAAATGATATGACATTGCACCCCAAAGATAATTTAACCCACAAAAAGGTGGATGATTAACATCTTCGCTTTCCAGCTCCACCTGTGTTCCTGAGGGCTAATAAATAACCTATAACTAACACCATATTCGGACCCCTCCCACTGGTCAAATATCAAGAACTGACCAGTTCTCCTCAGAAAGTTACATAGTCAAGAAACGTGCATTCATGAAAGGAGAACAAAATTTTCGGGGTTAGAAGTACACTAGATGGACAAAGCGGCTGCCACAAAATATTATCTCTTACTAGTTGCAGTCTTGCCTTTGCTTAAATCAGCAAGTTCCTCAATAAGCTTCCTCTCATCGCTGCTCAATTTTTTGGGGATTTCAACTTGCACCCGAACCAACTGATCACCCCTCATACTGCTCTTGTTCAGCAGCGGAACACCTTTTCTAGCCATAACAAGTGTTGTGTTTGGTTGGGTCCCCGCAGGGATTTTTAAATCCACCATGCCATCTACAGTAGGAACCTTGATTGTAGTTCCCAAGATTGCATCAATGTAAGACACCTTACAAGTGTATAATATGTTGGTGTCGTCACGTTTGAGGACTGGATCAGGGATAACTTCAATAACAACAAAGAGGTCACCAGGAGAGCCACCTCGCTTTCCAGCATTTCCTTCATTTCGGACCCTTAACGACTAGCAGAGTCCACGCCAGCTGGGACTTTCAGACTAATCCGTTTTGTCCTCCGCACACGACCATCCCCAGAACAGGTATTGCAAGGTGTTGAAATTTCTCCAGTCCCATTGCATGAAGAACATGTCATTGACTGCTGGAAAATACCTAATGGAGTCCTTGTTGATGAGACAACCCTACCTTGACCCCCACAGGTGCTACATCTGGATGGCTTAGTTCCTGGTTTAGCCCCAGAACCATTGCAAGTTCCACAGCTCTCTAGTCGGCTGATTTCTATCTCTTTTTCTACTCCATAAACTGCTTCCTTAAAGTTCAAGACAAGACTATAATACTCATCTTCACCATCAAGAGCTCCATTCCAGGAACCTCTGGTGTTCATGCCACGATTCATACCCTCAAACAGAGTCTCAAACAGATCAAAAGGATTACTGAAATCCTGAAATAACATGCATAATGCTTAAGAAAGCAGAAAGTGTCAGAACAAAAGATTTTCCATCATTATAACAAGGTAACTTACCCCCATGCCCATTCCAGAACCTTTAAGCCCAGCCTCTCCAAATCTGTCATATATGGATCGTTTCTCATCATCTGATAAGACCTGCAAAACAAATTAAATTACAAAAGACCAGTTAATATTAGAGTTAGAAATTCATAAAGACAATCACAGAATTCAATCAACTATAAAAACAAAAAAAATAAACCTTTACCTCATATGCATTGCTAATTTCCTTAAACTTCTGTTCAGCTCCAGGTGCTCTGCAGCATCAATGTGAATAATTCAGACCAAAGTTAAACACCAGAACATTTCCTTCATCAGATGTTCGAGATGACCCCATAATTTTTTTTTGGTTACTCAAGGGTATCCTCCTATTAGAGGCAATCCTGCCAATAAAACTGACACACATATCAAGCCCAATTCAAGTTGCAATAGTTGTGACCTAAGCCTCCTTCCTCCAGACATTTCCACCTGCTTATTACTATGACCTGCCCTTGGATGTTATTATGCCAGAGCCATATCTAACCTAAGAAAGTCAACAACTATGGAGGATATGCCATCACTCGCAGGCAAAAATCCTATTAGAGCTGTAGTTACCTACGATCCAGTTCTCAAGAATTAAGAGTTATATTGGAACCACTGATAGTCCGTAAACATGCGCCACATCATTAAAATAATTACAGTACTGTACATGCAGTCAAAACTTTTTAGTCACAGGTTGTACCATGTAGTTCCCAGGTAGGGCAAAATTCTTTAGATAGGGAGTGGGTCAAAATTAATCACTTCATAAAACTCAAATCCAAGCAGCCCAGCTTCTCAACATAAGGCAAATTCTAAAGGTTTAAAATTGATGTTCTACATTATAAAGTTGTCATGGATACTTACGCTCTGTAAACAGGTTGATGCCATAAACAACAGTACCAATCTAAGAACCATGCTGATTTTAGGTCATACTGCCTTCAGCAGCGTTCATATAGAACTTCTTTTTAATGTAAGAAAATTCATCATAGAATTACTGACAAAAAATTTGATAACACGCTTGGCCAAGGATACTATGCTGTTTATGATTATGCTAATATTCAATTTTCACCACCACAAGTCCAGTCCAGTCTATATTTAACTTCAAAAAGATATGAAAAACAGAGGAGAATAATAACTCACTTGTTCACATCTGGGTGGTAATTCCGCGCAAGCTTCCGATAAGCTGAAATTTAAAAGTGGAGACACGTATTATTTCAATGAAAAATGGCAACATGGCACCATTGACATGTACGGAATATGTTCAATCAAACCAATCAATGAGTAAACTTAAGTTAAAAGTGACAAGTGATGACTTTTTATCATGGTCATCTGTAAAAAAATTGTGATGATTAACGCTGCTCCTCATCCACTAAATTCAAACATAACTTTTTTTTTTTTTCAATTCACCCTTTAAAATAAATAAAAACTTCTCAAATGGATATATAATCTTGTTTCTAGGTCATATCTATTCTATATAATATCCTCATCCTACAATACAAAAAAGGCAAGGGAAGAAATCAACATCACAACTAATTTAATTTCAATCCTTAAATTGGAAAGTCCCCGCATGGGGTTATTCACTTTGGAGAAAAAACCCACCCATTTAATTGATATCTTAGGGTTTGACAGGCCTCTTAACAGTGTTAAGTTTGGAGCTTCCTTTAAGGTAATATATTTCTAATTCTTGAGGGTACAGGCAGCAGCAAGAGTAATACAAAAGGGGTAAGTATTTACTAATCAGCAAAAGAACCCACTTTGGTAATTCATTTTGCCTTACAAAGAGACAACTAAAACACTAAAGTCGTTATGATTCCAGCTGACAATTAACAAGCAAATAAACACAACATATTCAAATATCCTCATCTTGATGAATATATGATCATAAAGACAGAAAAAGAAAGAGGCCAAAGTAAAATACCACTCTTAATTTCAGATTTACTAGCATTTCTTGACACCCCAAGGACAGAATAGTAATCCTGCACATTGAGAAATAACAGTTACTGATATTCAGCTTGAGATATACAAATTAGAAATGAGAGAAATGCCTCCATACATTACAAACACATAGAAAAGCTATTAAAGTGCAAATGTGAATATGAGTAGTCATACTTACTACATCTGCCCTTACTATTAACCTTGATCCCTTGCGACGAAGAAAAGTTTGAGAAGAACCCAGGTCACATAGTGCATGCAAGGAATCACGACAAAAAAAGCTCGAACTTGGGGCAGCCATAAAGCTTACCCTACTTGTAACACTGCAAGCAAGATGATCTAAGAAATTACACTCTACATTGCTCGCAAAGAACTATGCTGAAAATCTTTGCATTTAATAACTGAGTAAACCATTGCGGAACACTGGTTATGAAAAATAAGACTGGCAACAGTCCCTCAATCCCATGCCCCAATCCCAACAATAAAAAATTATTGCTAACAACAACTCTGTAAATATAAAATATAAAATATAAAATAAACCCAGCTAATAGTGATTTCACTATTAATAACATAATAGGGATAACTTGGTAATAAAGTAACTTAGTAATTTGTCCAACTTGATCGTGAAAACAGACCAAATAGCTCATACCTCTTATAACTGTGATAGTGAAAGAAAATTCTTATAACTGGTTTTGGCTCCTCAGATAAATGTTTAACCATGAGATTTAACTTACCTGAAGCCGGATGATATAATCCTTCCTGTCATACAGGATCTCGTAAATAACTGAGGACGGATTCCCCATTGTGCAACAGATGTGCTTCCAAAAGGTGTAATGGCCATTCAATTTGTCTTCAGCAAGATAATATGGTGATCAATATGTATATCGTCGGTGAACTTATGCCAACTGTAACACTTGTAATGTGCCACACAGGGTCAGAAGATACATGAATTGAAGTAAACAACCAAACCAAAAAATTAGATGCAGCTTGCAACTCATGGTAGAAATGAAACAGCAGGCTAGTAAAAAGAAATTTTTGTTTCCCATAGATGATGAAATATCTCTCTACATTAAAACACAAAAATTCAGTAAAAATCTATTACTCAATCATGGCATCCGGATATTGTACAAATTTTGAAGTGGGCCCCAATTAAATTATCCTTCTCAGCTATTTGTTGTTACTGGATAATGACAAACTTATTATTAAATAATCTACTCATGCATTTATAGTGCAAGATTTAGGAATTCTCAAATCACAATAGACACAATAAAATTATCACATTAAACTAAAACTAAATTCGGCATTAAACCAAGAAATGGTGAGAAGGAGGAGGGTTCTAACAACTTGGCCAGGAATATAAACTGAGGAACAAGTGAACAACAGCCTTCTTTAGCTCCTAGGTTTGTCACCCGAAAGCAAAAAGTCAGTACTTTCACTACATCCGCTCTAACCAAAATGAGATGCCACAATGGATAAGCGAATCAAATTCATGATATTACACATTGCAGCTTAAGATGTTTCTACCACATAAAAGAGAGAGAAGTTTTAAAAAAAAAAATCAAGAAGTTTGCTTGACTAATTCACAAATAAGTGCACTGCACAAACAGAGCTGTGGAAGAGTATATAAATAACCCCTTAATCTTCTATGGGAAGAGGACGGGTGTCAGAAAAAACATCGCGTAGAGACACGTTGAGATAAATTATAAGCGGAAGCGAAGTCGGAACAAGCAAAGCTCCCAAAGCAATAACTAACAGGCACTCTAGAATTGTTGATAGAACCTGCGATGACTAATTAGCTAGTCAAATTTTATACCTTGAGCGAAATATAGGAGGAACAAGTATATAAAGGTAACTTCTTTTTTCTTTTAACAATTAACAGCGGCATTGGAAGCAGTCACTGAGGCGAATTAACGCAAGAAAGAACATAGCGACCACAAACGATAATTCTGGAATCAAGGAAGCCGAGAAAATGAAAGAATCCATAACCTCTATCGCGTAAATATAGAAGTGGTGGGTGTGAAAATGTTGAGAAATGAAATATAAACCTGTTGATCCTGACTTTCCCTTCGCTCTCTCTGGCAGGGAAGAGAGGAGGAAAACGGAGAGGAGTGAAGGGCGATAGAAAGGAATAGTGTCCAGGGACAGAGGAGTGTGCCGGAAATGTTCGAGGATGAGGCTACAGCGTTGCAGCACTTGGTGGTCGAGTTTTCATCTCCGAACACGGCATTTTTTTGTTGCACTGAGGTTTTATTCGATGCTTCTAGAAACCTATATGGTCACTTGCCTTTGCCTAATTTACCGCCGTTGGATTCCCCTTCCCTCTCCCACCCAAAAAAAAAAAAAAAAATCACCATAAACCAAGGAATCTAACTCCTTGTCAGTAAAACTCGAAAGAAACCTAGCACTATGCGTAAATAATACCACCCCATTTAGCAAATATTGAGAGCCCACGAGCCAAAGCATCTGCAGTTTCATTAAACTCCTTGTGGCACCACTAGACTTCCACGTCCCAATCTCGGCCAAGCAGCTCTCCAACCTCTTCAAGTAATGCTGTGTCAGGATGGTCTTCAGTAAAGCTGTCACGAAGTGTCTCCGCCACCTCCATTGAGTCCGTGTCGACCACCACTGCCCTCCAATTTTATATTAAGTAACCAGATCTCCTTTGACAATCTAATAGTAATAGCTCGAGAATAATATAGTATTACATACTTAAACTTTTTGCGTCCAAATTTGTTTTATTGCATGGTGGGGATTTAAATTGTGAGCCCCCCTTATATTTTATCTTACTCCTGTCGATTAAGTCTAATAATTTTTTTGGCTTGAAGCCTATAAAACGTGAGTTTTTCTGCGATGATGATTTCGTATAATTTGATTTGATTCCGTTTAAATTTAAGGAGTCGTCGTTGTTCGTTAAAAAAAAAAATTAAGGAGTCTTCATTAAATTAATTTTTTTTTAACGCCACAAAGTATCTAATCTATGTAAGAATCTATATCTCTATATAGTGTGTGTGTGTGTGTGTTGGCCGGGAAATCTATACATTTATTTGTCAAACCAAATAGGCAAGTAATATTGTGCATACATTTCGTTGAAATTACTGGTCAGGATATTTATGGCATGTTTAGATTTTGTTTTATCCCTGAGTATCTATAACAATAAATGCGATCAATACTTTGATGTATATTAACATGAAAGTAGAGTTTACCATATGAATAGGGAGGCTCGCTTGAATTCTGGAGGGATAAGATCTCTTTCGATGATGATCAAATGAATGCACTCTCAGCATCGAATATGATAAAATTACATTAAAAAGGTACATTTTTCATGGTTGATTGATGTACTCTTCTCTTGTTTGAGTTTAGATGATAAATTTTTTCTTGTTTTAAAAAAGTCGAGAGGAAATCCCACTCTCTCTATGTGGGGAGAGGGGTCTCTCCACTTCTTTTCTCTCTATTTCCCTCCACTTCTCTCGTCTTCATTATTCATTAATTTTATTATTTAAAAAATTATTTAATAAAATAATTTGAATGATAGAGATGAAGGAAGTAGAAGGAAATGGAGGAAAAAAAATAGAGAGACCCCTCTCCCCTCTATGTGAGAGCAAGGTGGGTCCAGAAGGCAAGAGATTAGGAGAAAAGTCGTGCCTATAGAAGTTGGTTGAGATTTGGAGAGTTTGTTTTAGTCCTAGATAAAACATTAACACCCCCGGAGGTTACCAAAAAAAAAAACATTAATCACCTTGTCTTTTATGTTTTTTATTTTTTCCCAAATTATCCTGCACTTAAATTTAATTTTTATACGATAATAACTTTTGGATAACAAAAAATGAGGGGGTATTTTTAAAAAAATCAAAGCATATTGTCACGGATGATATTTTCGTGACCGTGTAAAGACCAAGATAATGAACGGTCCGCTGGTTAGCCTCACACAATATGGGTAAAGGGGGCGACATTAGCATTGGGGGTGTTCTGCCTCAGTCTTCAGACTGTGTGCACAACTGGTCGGGGGCTAGTGCCGCCTCCCTGATGAGCCCATGGCAGGGCGAAACCAGTGTGATCCGTACGTGGTAAGGCTTGTCCTGAGGATTATGGGGTCCTCCAGGACGCCGCACGGGCGCCGTGTGCTGCGCCAGACTCTCAGCCCGTGACAGAGTGGTATCAGAGCAGGACGTACTTTACTGCCGTGTGCGCGTGGGGTCCCACGTTGGGACTGGTCGGCCTCGGCACCGCTCCAGAAAGGCCTCCGAGCAGGTGGGTCCAAAAGTGGGGACTCGGGCGGGATGGTTGGCCGTTGTCGACTCCACTCCTGTTGGCTCGCGGGTGCGAGTGGGTTCGAAGAGTGCAGGACTCGAGTGGCCACTCAGCAAGTAAGCTGATGTGTTTGTGGTAGTACTGTACGTACGATCCTTGGGCGGAGTCATTCTCTCCTAGCACGAGGGTGTGCTAGATTGGGTGTGGGAGAATGTCACGGATGATATTTCCGTGACCGTGTAAAGACCAAGATAATGAACGGTCCGCTGGTTAGCCTCGCACAATATGGGTAAAGGGGGCGACATTAGCATTGGGGGTGTTCTGCCTCAGTCTTCGGACTGTGTGCACAACTGGTCGGGGGCTAGTGCCGCCTCCCTGATGAGCCCATGGCAGGGCGAAACCAGTGTGATCCGTACGTGGTAAGGCTTGTCCTGAGGATTATGGGGTCCTCCAGGACGCCGTACGGGCGCCGTGTGCTGCGCCAGACTCTCAGCCCGTGACAGAGTGGTATCAGAGCAGGACGTACTTTACTGCCGTGTGCGCGTGGGGTCCCACGTTGGGACTGGTCGGCCTCGACACCGCTCCAGAAAGGCCTCCGAGCAGGTGGGTCCAAAAGTGGGGACTCGGGCGGGATGGTTGGCCGTTGTCGACTCCACTCCTGTTGGCTCGCGAGTGCGAGTGGGTCCGAAGAGTGCAAGACTCGGGTGGCCACTCAGCAAGTAAGCTGATGTGTTTGTGGCAGTACTGTACGTACGATCCTTGGGCGGAGTCGTTCTCTCCTAGCACGAGGGCGTGCTAGATTGGGTGTGGGAGAATGTCACGGATGATATTTTCGTGACCGTGTAAAGACCAAGATAATGAACGGTCCGCTGGTTAGCCTCGCACAATATGGGTAAAGGGGGCGACATTAGCATTGGGGGTGTTCTGCCTCAGTCTTCGGACTGTGTGCACAACTGGTCGGGGGCTAGTGCCGCCTCCCTGATGAGCCCATGGCAGGGCGAAACCAGTGTGATCCGTACGTGGTAAGGCTTGTCCTGAGGATTATGGGGTCCTCCAGGACGCCGCACGGGCGCCGTGTGCTGCGCCAGACTCTCAGCCCGTGACAGAGTGGTATCAGAGCAGGACGTACTTTACTGCCGTGTGCGCGTGGGGTCCCACGTTGGGACTGGTCGGCCTCGACACCGCTCCAGAAAGGCCTCCGAGCAGGTGGGTCCAAAAGTGGGGACTCGGGCGGGATGGTTGGCCGTTGTCGACTCCACTCCTGTTGGCTCGCGAGTGCGAGTGGGTCCGAAGAGTGCAAGACTCGGGTGGCCACTCAGCAAGTAAGCTGATGTGTTTGTGGCAGTACTGTACGTACGATCCTTGGGCGGAGTCGTTCTCTCCTAGCACGAGGGCGTGCTAGATTGGGTGTGGGAGAATGTCACGGATGATATTTTCGTGACCGTGTAAAGACCAAGATAATGAACGGTCCGCTGGTTAGCCTCGCACAATATGGGTAAAGGGGGCGACATTAGCATTGGGGGTGTTCTGCCTCAGTCTTCGGACTGTGTGCACAACTGGTCGGGGGCTAGTGCCGCCTCCCTGATGAGCCCATGGCAGGGCGAAACCAGTGTGATCCGTACGTGGTAAGGCTTGTCCTGAGGATTATGGGGTCCTCCAGGACGCCGCACAGGCGCCGTGTGCTGCGCCAGACTCTCAGCCCGTGACAATATGCTTTAAGAAAAATGACAATCAGGGACTTTGTAAGAACATTCTTAATGACAATTACGAGCTTTAAACCATTAAAATCCTAATAACAAATGATGGTCTTTAATTATAATAAATTATCTTATTAATTGATTTAAAATTCACAACAAATTTTAATAAATTCTCAACAAACGTTAGAAAGATTTTCAACTATCCTTTGTTGATTTTTCAAGTAATAACAAAAAATTACAAATAATTGACTTGCAATTTACAACTGATTTTTATAAATTTGCAATTGGTATAGCAAATATTTTCAAATATATTTGGTGAAAATCTCATATGATTTGTCTATATGTTGAAAGCAATAAATTATAAGTAATTGGCTTGTAATTTACAATTGACTCTTATAAATTTTTAATTAATAATATAAATAATTTTAAGCATATTTACTTAATCTTTTAAGTGGTTTATATGTATATTGACGGCAAAAAATAATAATCCCAACCAAGTTTAGTAAATTCTCAATTGATGTTATAAGTAATTCTAAATATAATTAGTAGATTTCTCAACTAAATATTCATATTTTTTTAATTACAAGTAAGGACTATAGTTTTTTACAAAAATTTCAATAATTTAAGGCTTATTATTGTCATTAATGTTCTTGTAGAGCCCCTAATTGTCATTTTCTTTTTTTACCAAACAACTAATTTATTTAATTTATTCATTTTATATGAAGTAGTTAAATAACTTCACGCCTAAAACAGGAGGAAATAATATAGTGCATCCCAGTGCAGTGAAGTACTAGGCGCGCACCAATCCGCCCCAGGAATGACTGTTTTCCTCGTTTGGCTTTCATCCAGAGTTAAACCTCCACGATTTAATTTGTGTGGATGAGAAACTCGCGAGTAAAAGAAGGGAACATGAGAATGTTTTTGTTTTGGGTAGATAAGGCTAGCAAAAGCTAGAACAAAGACTAAGCAGTGAGTAAAACTAACTTCAGTGGGGCATTCCCCCACTTTTATCAAGCAAGAGGAGAGGAACATGAGAATGTTGGACGCGCAACTTGATCACCTATGCGGCGACAAAGTTCAGAGGATCAACTCAAATTACGAGAGAAGCCTGAGATAGGGACAGAATTCATGCTTTGCCAAATTTCCCACTTCATGCCTTGCTCAACCTACTTGCCTACTTGGGTGGGGTAATTAGCTGGAGTGCTTGTTATCTGAGTTGTCCAGATCTCTACCAAAAGCCCCTAAATATAAAAAATTCTAATTTATACGTTTAAAACAATAAATTTAGCTTTATACCTTCTGTTTAATCATTTTTCACATATTAGAATGAGGATTTAAATAAAATAATATTAAATCTGACCCATTTAAATTTAAAGCTGTATATGAGTGGGGGTAGCTCATTCCAAATTCAGTCCGAAATTGATGGTAAACCTTGAGATTCCATCCCATCAATTCATCCTCACTAGCATTCGTTGTGACAGTGACACACAGACCCAGTCAATGACTGGAAGGTTATGTCGGGCTTGCCAGCATTAAAGAATTTCAAAGCATTGTGACTTGTGAGTTTGTTGAATGCCATCTGCATGGTCAACTAAGTCTTTCATATATTATGCATCAGCATTAGGTTGTCACAATATTACAATAATTTGCTAATAGTACATTTCATTATAAATTTCATACTATTTTATAGTAATGTTTTATGTAAATGATTTCATCTTTCTTCACTTAAAATCTTAAATCTTAAATTTCATAAATCATTCTTTTTTATTACTCTCTCAGTTTAAAAATATAAGGTATTTTTAGTCTTTTAATGTGTAATCATTATCCTTTTTTTTTAAATACCCTTATTAATGAATACTTTATATTTATTGTAGGATATTTTATAAGGATAAATATAAAAGATAAGGTTAGTTAGAAATTAGATAATCACTTTATTGAAGGTAAAATTTAATTAAAAATGCATTATATTTTTGAATGGATAGAGTATCTAATAGTCATTAAACCTACTTTTATTTGATATGAAACTTTTTACAATGTTTTAAATTCACTTACACATGAATAGCATAATAGTTTGACTGAATTTTCAAAATCCAGGCTCCAAAAATTATTATTATTATTATTATTATTATTATTATATATATAACAAACCCAATATTACAGTTAATAGTAACTTCGCGTGCCTGGATAAACAATATGTATGATCCACCGGTCCGTTCAATACATAATTTTTGAAGGGTTCATAAGGGCGCCTCGATGGATGTGGCGACATGCATATATTTAAATGGTTCAATTGATGATTGAAGCGTGAATGCAGCTCGGCTTCCCGTATTGAGTAGCATATATTAATATTTATTCATCAGAGAAAAACGGGGTAAAAATATATTCTTATGCTTGGAATTAAAGCATTTAAATATAGTTTTACAAGATCATGATCGTAACCTCTAAAATGGATTAAATTTAGTATCCAAATATGTACTCAGTTGATATTTTTTTTAGGTTATTTTCACATGTATCTTGCTATCCGAGACACTTATGTACGGAACACTGTTTAATACTAAATATAAGAATCTATTCTGGTTGACAGGAAGACGGGGTTGGATAATGTTCCATCAATTGCCGAACTTGCCAGCTGCCAACTCAAACAGTAACAATCCTCGCTTGCAAGAGATTTATATAAAAAATATTTTTACCGAACATTCGGAATTTGATTTTGAATATAAACTCCTTTTTTCCCCGGGCCTGGTGTGACACGCTTGTTTTTTCCAATGGGGTCCGGCACGCTTTTGCATTCTTTTCCCCCGTTCATTTAATATGGCGAGTGACGCGCCAATTTCATCATTCAGGTATTCCTCTCCTAGCCACTCTAAGCCCGGTTTGGTACAATGAAAGGATTTTTTATGAAATTGAAATATAATTGAGTGTTAAAAGTATGTTTAATATAAAATTAAATTTCTAATATATTTAATGTAAAAATGAAATTCTAATAAAAATAAAATTCTATTATGTTTAATGTAAAAATGAAATTCTAATGTAATTTTAATAAGTATATATATATATTTTAAAATATAAAAGGACCATAGTGCCCTGTTCAAAAAAAAAATCTCATCTATTAAGCCTAGAACTTGATGACTTGTTGACTTTTATGACATCGTCTTTGATTTCGATTAGTAATCAACAACCTTCTTACCTTAAATCTTGAAATGCTTGAACTTGATGACTTGTAAGATGAAAAAGCTAAAATCTAGTTCTTCGTCACTCTTTATTGGATTACTAAGTCAATAAGCTGGATTTTCACTCGATTGAAACAAGGCTCTAGCCTGAAGATCCCTCAATGCTTGTTTCTGATTAAAATGGAGCCTTGCTATGTTAAGCGTTGGATATGTTGACTTGTTGGAGTAGCAAGTGTTTGTGATAGATTTGAAGTTGATTTCAATGCTGACAAAACAACCATAAACTTAGGAACGTGTCAATGTTGACAGTGCATTTCATTTCAGCTTGCGTGAAATCTTGACAACTATTGACAAAAAACCACCATGGGGGTGATGATAATTTTGGGTGGCAATAAAATCCTGGCATCTGCCAACATATTGGTGTATTGTGGGAGGAGATCGAAGAGCAAAGAGTGAAGTGATTATAAGGGCAATAGTAAGAAAAATAATAGATTTTGTGAACAATGACTTGATTTCATGAGGTTGATGATAGAAATTAATTATAGGATTTTTGATGTAATTGGATTCTACATGGAATGGAATCCATCCATTCCAAATATTTTCAAAACTTGGACTCCAATTTTAATTCTATCTATCTTTACTCAATTTCAATGTACCAAACATAGCCTCAATATTGTTGGATACTATCATGTCATATATTCATGCTAAGGACAGCATAGTACTTTCTTTTGTCCTATTTATAAATTACTCACAATGTATTTTGCCAAAATTTAAAAAAATTTTAAACCTCATTAATTTTATTTCAAAATTCAATAATTTTTCACATTTATTCCCAAATAAAGACAAAAAGAATAATTTTTAATATTTCTCTTAACACTTAATAAAGGGCAAAAAGATAAAAATAAATATAAAAAATAGTGAAATATTGAGGAAATAGGATCTAAATTAATTTCCTCTCTTAGCGTTATAAATAAAACTACAAGAGTATAATACCAGGTGGGAGGTTAGTTAGTGAGTAACTCACTAGCAAATGATAGAGTTAAAGTTGGTGGATGATTTTTAAAAAAATTTCACATTCATGAATAAAATTATAAGTTAATTAATAGTTTAGGATAAAATGATTATTTTTTTAGTATAAACATCAAACTAAACAAATTTACAGTGAGGCATTTTATTTTGTCATGTTCCAATCTACCTCATCCTCACTGTCATTTTTAGTAACCAAAAAAATATAAAAATAACGAAAGAAAAATCTCACACATGCAAACCCAGGGGGAGGCGGAAGGGTGGCCTAAAAGGAATTAGGGAGTTTTAAGAGTAATTTAATTAATTCCTATTATATTTTTCCTATTCTCACTATATTTTTACTTTAACAAGGATAATAATGTAAAAGTATATTCTTCCCTCTTTTAGAACATAACAATTAGTTAAAATAGGAGAAACTTAATTTTTTGGTTCTTATAATTTTGATTTAGTTATAACTAAATCTTTAAATTTTAACTTGTTATGACTCAATTTTTAAAGTTTTAATTTGGTTGTAACTTAATTCCTGAATTTTGTTTATTATAATTTAGTCTCTATAATTTCAACCACTTAAATATTGATGTCTATATTTTAAGAAATAAAATTATAAAGATTAAAAATATGTCAAAATTTATTACTAATATTTTAAATTACTAAACTCTTTTAATCTGTATAAATGTTATAAATATTAAAAGCTTAAAATATTTTTAATCATTATATTTTTATTTTTTAAAATTTAGAAATCAATATTTAAGTGATTGAAAGTTTAGAGATTAAATTGTAAGAGATAAAATTTAGGGATTGAGTCACAATTGAGTTAAATTTATAAGGATTGAATCACAATGAATCAAAGTTCAGGAATTGAGTTACAATTTAATCAAAATTAAAAAGACTAAATGATTAATTTTTTTCTTAAAATAATATAAATTCTCATTTTTTTCCATTATTCTCGTCCCTTTATAATTTGTATATGCCAAACATCCCCTGCTTACTTCTTTATTATCACAAAAGATGCAGTCATGTTTTATTCTTTCCTGTTAGATAATAGGACAGCCTTTTTTTTTTAAAAAAAAGAAAGAACAATAAAACTTTTTAGTTCTCATTCAACAGAGTAAAACGGACATCATATAAATCGTGCCCAAGGTTTTTGACACAATCATTGTGCCTCTCTGTCAATATACTTTCCTTTAAGATTCACCATTGACAAGGAGAAAATGAAACCGAGAGGAACAAGCATTTTATATCCTAAATTATTGTAAAAATAATATTATAACTTTTGAATTTTTAAAATATGTAAAAATTTATTTGTAATTCCTAAATTCTAAATGCCTAAAACTTTATTGTTAGGTTAAAAAAGATAATTATTATTTTCAAAAGTTAAGATGAACATCATTTTAACGTGTGACTACCTACAATTATAAAATATAAATTTTCCTTTTAACTTAACAACAAGATTTTAAGAATTTAAAATTTAAAAATTGAGATTTTTTTTTATATATTTCAAACATTTAGGATACAAAATATTAGCCAAGCAATGATTTAGAGTCAATATATTCATTACCCTTAAAATATATTCAAGTGATCTCTATAAAACCACAACCAAACATTTTTTTTCCTTCACTTTTTCCGCTTTCTCTCCTTTAAATCCAAGATCGGCACTAGATTCAACTGCTTCTAGTACAGATAAGTTTTGGGTGTAATATTTTTATCTATAAATAAAAAGATCTCAACTTTTTTTGGATGCTCGAGTACAAGTAAGAATGCACTGACAAACTCACAGCCGACCAATCAATATCAGTGGATGTTGGAAAAGTAAAACGGTGGAGGTCTGGAAGGCTGGGGGAGGGGAAGGGAGAATCAGAAGACCCGCGAGAAGGAAGAGGCTTGACAGTCCAATTTGGACTAGAGTCCACGCAGCGATGGATGGCCAACAGTGATTCCGTCTTGTCTTTTAGACTTCTATAAATACAACAAAAGTTTTCCAGCGAGCTGGAACAAAGCGACAGAAGCTTCTGTTTCAGATTTGTTGTCACAGCACTTGTTTGGGGGAATCAGCCAGGCCAGTTGTGTCTCTCTCAGCCCCAATTCCATTTCTCAAGATCCTTCGCCTCTCTTCTCACAGTCCCTCCTCTTTGTTAACTCTCGCGGCTTCTCTTCAACTCTCTCTATGTATTTTCTGCTTCAAATTCTTTACATGGGCTGGTATCTCTTCTGATACTTCCAACTTTAGGTATTCTACTAACCTTTTGTTTTTGTCGCAACTTGATGGCTGTTCTGTGATACTGTTCTTCTACATGATTCTCTTCTCAGCTATGTTACTTTCTTTTGTTAAATGATAATGGATCGAATCTGTTCGTGTCATATTAAGCATTTTTTTTTTTTACATGTTTGGGCTGATTTTATACCCTTTTCTCCCTTTTCTCTTCTTCGGCTGCATAACAAAAAAAAAAAAAATTGTGATTGGCCGAACTGCAGCTCTTTGATTGGATTCCCCCTCTTATCCCCACTTTTTGTGGACATATGATGGAACCACTGGAGGCGGTGACCTTTTCATATCGATTCTTATTGGGAAAATTTAATTCTTTGGTCAGTGTATTATCATAAGTTTCCATTGCGACTGCAACTATGCGTTCAGCTCTTAACTGTTTATTTGTTCAAGAGGCCAACTTGTCAAATGCAGATTTCGCAAAGAAGGCTTACCCACCTCTCGACTCCAATTATATATAGTATATATAACACAAGTAAATCTACACGAGTCTGTGAATAGAGCTAGTATTGCTAATGTTTTTCTCAAGATATCGCCTTCGTTAACAACAGAGCAAACTTAAGTGATGACAGTGATTTCTGTACTGTTACCACTGGAATAACAAAATTCACTCAAGCGGTTCTCGAGACCGTCTCCATGACTTTACTACTCTCCTTTTTTATTTAAGACGCTTCGGCAGCTATACGCTATAGAATGGTATTAGGCTCCAAACATTAGCATTTCTGTCATGCAGGAAGAATTGACGACCTTCCTCACACTCCTATTTTTCTGGGGGAGAGGCGAATGAGTCAATGAATTTAACGTTAAGCAGTTGTTCTCTAACTCTACACCGTTGGCTTAGTTACAGAATAGTTTGATTAATAGCCACGCGCGTTGATGGATTGTCTTGGAATTGCAATTTAGTCCTCTCTTTGATACAATAATAGAATTAAACACTTGCAATTTGACGTTAACATATGTGCAGAACGCATAAAGCAACCTATTTCCTTAGACTGACTCACATATATGGTTGCTTGATTTCTCACAAAGATTTTCTTTTCATCACTCTACTATCTTGTTTTATTTTGCTTATCTTCAAATGATGAATATGGATTGATCCTTAAATTGCCGGTATCACGCACACTCCAAATTCCCCACCTCCCAAACTTTTATATGGCGTCTACTGTTGTTATTGAATGTTCACAGCTTAATGGTTTGATGTTTCTGCAGAGATTGGCATTGGTCATCTCAAAATTGGTCACCAGACGCATTGTCTTAGTGGTTGATGCAAGTGGAAATGGACTTCCTAATTGTGCTTTTACTATTGGTTTGCTTATTCTCTTTTGTATCTTCTGATTTTCAAGGTACAATATTCTATTTGTCTGGTGCTCGACCAATTCAGATAGCAGTAGGCTATGCATGCTTCAACTGCTGTTTTGATTTTCTTTTGTTCTGCCTCATTTATCCCTGGCAGGTCACTGAATCTTCAGAATTAGATTCTGTTATATTGCTTGTATGCATCCTTGAAAACCTGATCATCTTATTCTGCTATTATGCTTCGTAAAAAGTTGAACAAATTGAATATATGTTTATCCTCTCTTATTTCTAAACCTTTTTGGTACAGAAGTTAACCCTTTTTTTTTGGGCGCAGTAAAGAAACTTAAGTTTATGTGAACAGTTTTCTCAGTTTCATTTGCCTGTAGGATTGAACAGTGGTGCTTTGACCCTTCTGCCCTTTTATTCTTTCTTCCATTAAGTAGAATTGATTAGAGTGTTTCTTCCAATCCTAATTTAAACATGTGTAATTATATCTATTGCTATGTATGGATTTTCTTTTTGACAAAACAGAGAAGAAAATATTTTGTGACTTGGATCAGTGGAAACTTTGGATTTTGTAAGATCCAGGATAGCAATTTCATTTTTTTTAAATCATGTAATTATTTAATAGCACTTGCATCTTTGTATCTGTTTGGCTCCAACAATAATAAGTTGCCAGATGCTGAGGCAGTTGAAAATGTTATGCATTTGAAAGATTTCTGATGGCGTGATTTTCTGAGTAAAGTATTAATGTTGGACCCTTGGCTCTAGTCGGTTGTTAACGTTCTATTTCATTTCAGGAGATGCTCTATTTGCACTGAAATTATCATTGAATGCTTCGGCTAATCAACTTACTGACTGGAATCAAAATCAAGTAAACCCTTGTACTTGGTCCCGTGTTTACTGTGACCAAAATTCCAATGTTGTTCAAGTGTAAGATATTATGTTATGTTCTGTTCATTCTTTTCTTTTGAATAATTGATATGCTGAGTATGTTGAAAATCATCACCTTGATGATTCCTCCTAGGTTAGGTATTCCCATCCGATTTGTCTTAACTTTGTGCCTGCTGTATAATTATCCAACTTGCTTTGCTACAGTTCATTAGCATTGATGGGATTTACTGGGTTCTTGACCCCAAGAATTGGGGCTCTAAAAAGCCTTGCAACTCTGTAAGTATTTATGATGATATACTATGTGAACAATTTGGGTTACTTGTGCAATTGTATATTGCCTTTTGAATTCCACTCAGTTTTATATGATGGAGAACTGATTTGCTCACATCAGCTTGTTAATTATTAAACTGTTTCTTGGTAATTGAGTCATTATACTATTTTGCACCCCTGAGAGTGAAACCTCTTCTCCTTTCCCTTTTTTACGGATTTAAAAATTAGTAACTTGTCTATCATTCTTGGCACATTTGAGCTGAGAGTTATAGTGTAAAAAAATCACATGACATGAATATACGTGTGCGCCCATGTGTGATATATTTTCTCATAGCTTATTTTAGGATCTAAGATTTAGTTGCTTTCTTATAACATGTTTGAGAGATTGAAACTATTTTTTGTGTGCGTGCGTGCGTGCGTGTGTAGTGTGTCTTTGATCCTCTAATTTTATATAAGGTTTCAATTTGATCTTTTAATTTTATAAAATATCTCTTTAGTCCTTTATCCTTAATACCATTAGTTTCAAATGATATTTTTTATGTCAGTCATTGTTATTTTAAAGAATTAAACTTAATCTGTCAACCCTTAAGTAATGTTTTGTGAATATTTAAAAGTTCAATGTATGAAGGGTTAAAGCACTGAAAAGGCACTTTGTAAAATTAAGGGATCAAAGTGAAACTGTGTAAAGTTAAAGGACTAAAGCTACACTTTAGCCTATATTCTATAGTTCATGTTCATGAAGTTTTAGTGCTTTAATTTTATTTGATAAGTATAGTTATAGTTTGGTTATTATCCAAAATTTTTGTAGCTCCTCAATTAATTGTTGTTTTGTCTCATTTTTTACGTTGCTCATTAGTATATTCTTGATCGTGTTGCAAAATTTTCTGGGGGCATGGTTAGTGGATTTGGTGCATGGCATAGGTGTTTACTGGTATTTTACACTGTAATTTCAGTTAGATTAGTGGGAAAACCTTTCTCTTCCTTAACTTTTTGAAAAGAAGAAAGATTTTGATGTGTAATTGTGATGTATATTATGCATATATAATGCAGTTCATTGCAAGGGAATGGCATCACCGGTGAAATACCAAAAGAATTAGGGAATCTGACTAGCTTAATCAGATTGGATCTGGAAAACAATAGATTAACAGGACAAATACCGTCTACCCTTGGTAATCTTAAAAGGCTTCAGTTCTTGTACGTATGCTCTCTTTCTTCTAGGTTTTAGTGTTTTGAGCAAAAATATAGTTTTTGGTCCTTGTAAGTTGGCAGCAACTTTCAAATTCCTCCTAAAATTTTAACTTATCCTGATTAAAGCTCCGTTCAAAATTTTGACATATATGTAATAAGATTTTGCGTTTCCCCCCTTTTGTAATGTTTAACGGTGTTCTGTTTTTTTATTCTATAACCAGGACTTTGAGTCAAAACCATCTCAGCGGGAATATTCCTGAATCACTTGGCAGTCTTCCTAGCTTGATCAATGCGTATATGAAATATTTTCTTATGCAGCAATATTTTTGGATGTTGTACAAGTAACTTCTATGTATGCCTTATTCTTTTAGCATCTGATGGATTGTTTGAACTCCTCTTTGCAGTCTGCTGGACTCAAATAATCTCAGCGGTCGAATTCCTGAACAGTTATTTGATGTTCCTAAATACAAGTATGCACAGTAACTTTAGCCTATACAAGTATACAAGTATGTTTATCTTTGACCCCTAGGAGTACATCTTCCTGTGTAATGTTTAAAAGGAATATTGAGAAACATAAGTTTCAGGATATGGAAGCAAATTGAAATGCTATTTGTCGTTTTATCTGGTGTGACTATTGTTATATTATTTTAGGGTGTTCTAGATAGAATATGGGGGTTTAGGATGCAGGATATATTTTCCTTTGTTAGAACATCTTTTCACCAGTTGCTCTTCACTTTTATTGTCTGCGTTATTGCAGTTTCAGTGGAAATAAGTTAAATTGTGATATGAATTACCGCCACCCTTGTGCCTCTGATAATGCAGATCAAGGTTATCTGGTTAAAATATTTTTTTGCTTTGTTTTTGTTAGCTGCCGATATCTGTTCCTCTCTTTGGTGAATAACTAAACGGTACTTTTTGTATGCTTGGTAGGTTCATCACATAAGCCGAAAATTGGCCTTATAGTCGGAATTATTGTTGGGTTAATTGTTGTAATTTTTCTCGGTGGTCTGCTGTTCTTCTGGTGTAAGAGTAGACGCAAGGGCTACAGACGAGAAGTTTTTGTGGATGTTGCAGGTTTAAGTTCCCTTTCAGTTTGTGCTTTACAATTATGACAAGCTCCGTTAATTGAAACATTGGCATTAATGTGGACATATTTGTAGCGTTCAAAATCATTCACATAATAATCCCACAAGCTCCACATGGGCAGAGTTGGGCCATGCTTCACCCTAACCCAGAGTGTTGTTTGGGCTAGTCCACTGCCTAAATGTTCAGAGTTGGCTTTGCCCAACCCGAAGATTCTTTTTTTTAAAAAAACATATTTAAAAAAATATGAAAAATAATTTTATTCTTCAACAAAAAAATATAATTATCTTTTAACCCAACTTATGCTTTCAATCTCGAGAATATCTAATACTGTAAACTGAGTTATTGTATATATTTTCTTCCACGTCGTAGATTAATTTATATTTGTGGAACATTGCTAACTTATTACTCATTATATGTGATTCATTGACATCACACCATTTCTATCTATTAAGGTTCTCATTTTGGCCATGACAATCAACAACAATCAGCCATAGTAAAATTTTACCTTACTAAATTCGAGGAGATCATGGCATCTGGTTCAATAATGTAGTTTTGACTTGATAATTAGGCTTAGTTGTTCCAGTGTCTTTCTCTTCTATATGGTCAATGTGTTCCAGCCATACTTTTCCATGTGGACCCCTTGGATCTAATGGTACACATTGAAATGTACCTTTTTTCATTCCTTTAAATTAAGATCCCTTGTTTTTTGTGGCATACCCGGAGATTTGCGGTTTGAACTTGTGGTCATGCTTTAATTGTGAAAACTAGTTTTAAAATATAATTTCTTTTGGTAACAAACTCTAGGTAGAATATTCTTATTAAAATGTAATCAATTTGAGCTTCAGTTTTCCCTAAAACTCTATTTCAAGTGTTTTTCCTTTCAATTTTTTCAAACATTGTGTGGTCAGGTGAAGTTGATCGGCGAATTGCATTTGGTCAACTGAAAAGATTTGCTTGGAGAGAACTACAGATAGCCACGGACAACTTCAGTGAAAAAAATGTTCTAGGACAGGGAGGCTTTGGAAAAGTTTATAAAGGTGTTCTTGCTGATAACGCTAAAGTTGCTGTCAAAAGGTTAACTGATTATGAAAGTCCTGGGGGAGATGCTGCTTTCCAGAGGGAAGTTGAGATGATAAGTGTAGCTGTTCATCGGAACCTGTTACGGTTGATTGGGTTTTGTACTACTCCAACTGAACGTCTTCTAGTTTATCCCTTCATGCAGAATTTAAGTGTTGCCTATAGACTAAGAGGTATAGATACAATACACGTGCCTTTTTAGCCTGCCGAGGGAGGGGAAAACTAATTTGTGAATCATTGTAATGTATTATGTACCGCTCATCAGTTTTAAGATTTGTTAAAAACTTGAGACTCACTGTCAGAAATTATCTTCATAGCAAACATTTTGGGAATGAAAGAAGAGTGAGGCAGATGGATAAATGTTTGATTTGTTGCTGACTAGTCCTTCTTGCAAGTGTGCACCGTTTAAAATATTGGCATTCTTTCTGTTTTTACATTTGAAAGGCATGAAGTACTTTTGATTTACATCATGTAAACCTATGAATGATGTTTTCTTATGTGGTAGAATTTGAATTACATGTAAGTAGCAAGTAATTTATGTCATCATTTCCTGTTATATCTTGACAACATGAATACTGATGCAGAACTGAAACCTGGAGAACCTGTTTTAGATTGGCCAACAAGAAAAAGAGTGGCTTTAGGCACAGCCCGTGGCCTAGAATATCTTCATGAGCATTGCAATCCTAAGATTATTCATCGGGATGTGAAGGCTGCAAATGTATTACTAGATGAAGATTTTGAGGCAGTTGTTGGTGACTTTGGTTTGGCGAAGTTAGTTGATGTTCGAAAAACTAATGTGACAACTCAAGTTCGTGGGACAATGGGTCACATAGCTCCTGAGTACTTGTCCACTGGGAAATCTTCTGAAAGGACAGATGTTTTTGGTTATGGCATTATGCTTTTGGAGCTTGTTACAGGTCAACGGGCAATTGACTTTTCTCGTTTGGAAGAGGAAGATGATGTGTTGTTACTTGACCATGTGAGAATTTTAATATTATGGTCACCTTGTTTGCACTTATATATGTTTGTTTTATTTATTTCTTATTTATTTAACACCTTTAGTAATACTGCTTCTCTTTGGCCACTTTGGTGATGTCTACTTTTGCACTTTTCTGGTAGAGAAAGTAATGTTTTGGTAAGCTGGTGGAGTAAAACTATGATCTTGCAGTTATGTTTTTCTAGATTTCCGTTCACTTTAATATATACATGCTTGCACATATGTACACGTATACGTCTGCGTTGGTGTTTGACAACAGCAAGGGGCAACATCAACAGGCTGCTCATTTTAAACAATGTGTTATCAACTTCCAGTGTTGTCTGTTGTTGAAATTAATGTGCAATTGCTTCTCTTGCATATGTGGTTTATAAGGCCATTTACGCTTCATTAGTTGAGATTGTTACAATTGACCTTGCATGCTTGTGAACATTGAAAAAAAGTCAAAATTACAGCAATAATACAATATTAAACAAGAATACAACATCTGCTTCTGATCACCTTTCACCTTGACGTGATAAGCAATTAAACAAGAAAACTTTCATGCTTGTCTGAAGAGGTTTTGTCCTTTGTCTTCACAGTGGCGTTTTAGTTATGCACCATTTTCAGCTTTTACTTGTTACCTTCTCTTTGTTTTTATGTGATTTATAGGTTAAGAAACTAGAAAGGGAAAAGCGTCTAGATGCTATTGTCGACTGCAACCTAAATAAAAATTACAACATACAAGAAGTTGAAATGATGATACAAGTTGCATTACTCTGCACCCAAGCTTCGCCCGAGGACCGTCCAGCAATGTCAGAGGTTGTTAGAATGCTAGAAGGAGAAGGGCTGGCTGAAAGGTGGGAGGAATGGCAACATGTGGAGGTTATACGGAGGCAAGAATATGACAGAATACAAAGAAGATTTGACTGGGGAGAAGATTCAGTTCATAACCAAGATGCCATTGAGTTGTCTGGTGGAAGATAAGGCGGTGATCCATAAATTTGAATTAGTCATATTTTATGTTGCGTTATCTGTTTTTCTGACAGGTTAGCTTGGCAGGAGATGCGAGTTAACTGTAAACCCCCGCCCCGGGGGGGGGGGGGACACTAATCTTTTATGCTCTGCAAATGTTGCTTATTGAGATCTTTGTCTCTGTTGGTGTTGTATATAATTTGAATGCCTACTGTTCTGACTTTGGGCGTTGTTTCCCATTTTTAGCTATCAATCGTACAGAATCTGTACTTTTTTTTCTTATGGTGTGTTTAATTTATGCTTTTTCGTGTCATAGGTAGATGTTGATGCATTCTAGCAGCTTGCTTTGAAATCATTCTTATATCTTAGATTCTGGAGGCTTTCACGCAGAGCATAGTCGAAGTTTACAAATATTACACATCTGGGTTAGTTTCATCCTACCACGGGGAGCGAGGCTAACAGAAGAAGTGACATGTTCAAGTGCCATCAGGCACCAGCCATTTATTATTCCTGAAACACACTAGCTATCTACATACTAGAGTGCATTCTCAATTGTGACATGGAATGAATCAAGACTCGTGCTCAGACCCATTCTCGCTGCTTTCTTTCATCTGTTCTACATGCACGATGCCCTTGTTCACCACTTCCCTGCAGGAACTTGGCTCATCCTCCAAGTAAAGAGGATGCTGCTCCCTGCAATGGCCCTCCCACTCTTCAAAATTAATTCCACACTCTCGGTTGTCCATCCCCGCCATTGCCATGGCTTCGATCAACATTGCTTCCCCTGTTTCTGGTTGGCAGTTATAAAGATAGTGTTTCCTGATGTTGATGAGTGGCAGCACTGCTTCATTTATATGGATAGACTAAGGCTTCCGAGGCATGTGAAAAAAATAAAACAATTCACGGAAGTTGCATGTGCAAAGTTTGTATCGTTATACCTGTGATGTGGTCCCTTCTTACCTTCTCTCATTTCGATTTGTAATCACGTGGTAAAATGTTCTTGATGATGGTGGGTAAACTGGCGTCAGCAATTACGTCATTCCATATCCTTCACGAGATACAGTTCCATCATCATATTTATATTTGAACTTCTAAAAAAAAAAATTCCGTCAGGTTTTTTGACCTAAATGCACCTTTATGAACATGAAAATGCCGTGAGCATGTAAATACTGTATTGGGCTTGGGGTGGTCATTTTAAATGTGACCAATTTGGAGGTAAGATCGTGAGTAGCGAATTCCACGGTCCACAATGTTGCAATGACAGACACTGACGAGTTCATTTGACTTGGGTTAATCTAATCACGACTGGCTGCATGAGAATATCTGGCCTGAGGTTGAAACTGTATTAGACCAGAAAGGGCAAAAAGCTATTTTATGAGCGAAAAAGGTTAATCCTTTAAATTTAGTTGCGCCGAGCATTCTGTGAGACAAATACAAGACAAACTGAAATTACCTCCAGCGCCACTTCTAATCTTAATATCAGACAATTTGACATTACATTTACCAAATTTGATTTCACAAATTATGTTCATAAAATTCTAAGTCTTAACTCAGCACTCCATCAACATTATTATGGGAAAATTTTTATTTGAGGACCTATATGTAAAAATATTTACTGTAAAGGACCATCAAAATTCATAATTATTTTGAAGGGTAAAAATAGTTAACCGACCATTATACCCTTAAAAAAATGTTTTTCGTTCCCTTGTCTGTTGTTTTCTGTTTCTTCTTCTTCTTCTTCTTCTTCTTCTTTTCATTTTCTTCTTCCACCCCCAATGCTACTATTGATTCTTGCAAAAAAATTGTCAGAAGTCTTCTGACTTGATTTTATTTAATTTGCAGATAGAAGTTATATGTCTGTTAGCGAATCTGTTTCCGTTTCTAGGATCCTATTTAGAGGTTACATACAGTTTGGTGGTTAATACGAAGGGAAATAATGCAGAGAAGACTACCTCATTCAATTTTTTCCCCATAATACATAACATATAATGGCCTGATTTCCAGGCGCTAATATATAAGACTCTGATAAAAATGTATATTTCACAAATCTGTTTAACCCTTTTCTTTTCGGTACGTTGCTATATATATCAAGATATATAAATTTTGTGGCAACCGATAGTCATTTCGAATGATAATCGCAATGTTAGGATTTTTTGTTTTTTGTTTTTAATACGGAAGCGATGGTAAATTAATAATTTTATATGGCAATCTTTAATCATGTAACATCGACAATTATTTTAGCACTCAAAATCAATTTCCTCAAATGATTGTGATGATCATCTGCGCAATGAATTATATATATACAAGCTAAAATGGAGGGAAGGGGTCGATCGCGATACAAAGAACACATGCATGTCCGAAAAAGAATCACATAAATTGAATAAATAAAGAAAACTAATTAAGAAGTGCATCATTTTGCTGGCACTATGTGATCATCCATTAGAAGAGCTATCTCTTTGAGTCTTTGATCAGCCTTCTTCTTATCGTTTGAAGCGACAGCTTTAGCCCACTCGCGAATCTTAATTTTGACCCACTCCATGCCGAGTTCCAAACTCAAGTTAGCATTGTGAATGTTGTCAGCCTGAGCGCCAGAACTTCGCTCAATCTTCTGTGGTTCGGCCAGCAAGTGTGGTTGTGGCTGTTCAAACCTCCCGCCAAACCTCTCGGGCTTGATTTGATCGCATTCTTCCTTTTTGTCGACTGATCCAGCCATGGCTAAAGCTTCCACTGACATCAATCGCCTCAAATTCCTGCTGCCTTGTGTTCTTGGGCTCGCTTTCTTAATTTAGACAAAACAGAGAGCTTAACTACTTATATATAAATATATATCCGGCAATGTTCGTGATTCTCTTATAGACAGCTGTTAAGGTCAAGAGGAACACGCTGATTGATCCCTAAATCATTGACTGCATTTCTGTATGTAACCATGAATGAAAATTATACGAATGATCTATGTGCTGCGACCCACAAAAAAAAAAAAAAAAAATCAGTCTGCATGGCTGATATGGCTCTATGTGGTCTTACCTAAGGAATGGGGTACATATAACAACTAAATCGTTCACGAGCATGCACGGGGTACAGAAGGAAAACGCGAGCGTGTCAAAGGATTGACCGGAAATATTCTACTATGTGATCAGACTGTGGTATACTATTCAAAGATCGTTTATGCAATAGATTACGAGCGAATCGTCTGCAATGTCATCAGACTGTCGTAAATGTTTGTGCTCTCACTTTTTTTTTTTTTTGGGGGGGGGGTGTTAGGGAGTTGTGGGATTACAGACACAAGCCGCTTCCGGCAGTTGGCCGATTGATTTCTATTAGTTAATAACCTTTTAAGTTTTAACTAAGTCATCGCTCGTAATAGTCACTAAAACGCTGTTGAAAACGTGCTGGATATGGCCGACGACAAGGATGTGAGAATGACGGGTACAAAAGTAGGGAAAATGTCAACCAAGTACTGCTGAAAGAAATTTATAGCATTTAAGGACCAATAAAGTTTGAATTTTTACTGCAGTCCATGATGAAATTAACTTGTTACATGAAATGACCGAATTGTCCCAAAAGTTTTTTTTTAAAAAAAGAAGTCAACCTCATTCTTATTGGTGCCGGCCACCAGATTGCTGCTAGAGACCCTACTGACGACGAGGTCTTTGGAGCACCTGCCATCGATGGGGTCGTTGGTGGCCGATCACTGGAGCTCTAGTACCATTAACACTTATCCAAGGATATGTAATTGGTAAAGGTAGCAAAGGGAGGGTTTGATCTCATAACTCTTTTTAGCCACCTAAAAAGCTTGGCATGATGATCACCAAGTCTATTTAATTATATATGAAAAAAAATATAAGTAATAACCTAAACTTCTAAATCACTTTCATATTATAACATAATGGTGTGTTGTTAATTTTTAAATAGCACTTAATTATTAATCTAGCATGATCAATTATAAATTAAAAGCTTTAAAACTTCAAGCATTTTACTTATTACAATTAGGAGGTTTAGTTGTTAGAATGTTTTATTGTTAATTACGAATAGTTTATTGTCAAAATACAAATGAATAGTTATTAATGAAGAATTAATACATACAATAAAGCCCATCCTATTAATTTTTTAACTTATTAAAACTCAAATGAATTGTTATTAATTTTGAATGAGTTGTTAAAACTTAAATGAATAATTGTTGATAAAGGATTAACATTTGCACAATTAAGCCTATTCCATTCGTTTTTCTAACTTGTTAAAGCCTGAATAACGTAATTAACAATAATACATTTAAATTTTAACATATAAAATGCATCAAGTTTTAAAACTTTTAGTTTATAATTGACAATGTTAAATCAACAAGTAATATTAGTAAAATAACACATGTTGTTTAGAAATTAATAATATACTGTTATGTTATAACATAAAAGTGGTTTAAAAGCTTGGGTTATCACTTATATTTTTTTTTTTGCCATATATAATTAAATAGATGACTAAGGCTTTTTAGATGACTAAGGGGTTATGGGATCAAACCTCTCCTTGACCATCTTTATCAATTATCTTTGAATAAAAATGTCACCGATATTAGAGCTCTGGTGATTGGCTACTGAAAGGGTCTCCGGTGGTCGTTTGGTGACAGTGAGGGTGACTTTTTAAATTTTAAAACTTTAAGGGCAATTTATTGGTCCTTGAATGTTAATAATTTCCTCCAACGTCTTGGTTGATATTTTTCCAAAAAAGTATGTAAGAGTGAGTATTTGACAAGTTAGCATGTACTAAAAGGAATAGAGAAAATATTGAATTTTTGTATTATTCATCATTTCAAAACTTAATCATATTAGTTACATTAATAAGCTTATATAGAATCATATATAGTGGGCTAACATAGTAGGCCTTATACTAGATTAACTAATACTTAAAATAAAACAATAGAAAGCGCAATGGTTGATGACCACATACTCTAATCAAAGACAAAACCTTAAGTTTTAAATAATTGTTAAATTTACATGCCTTTTTTATTAAAAATTTTAAAATTAATTTTAGCCCCTACTATAATCTAATTTTGCATTTTAGCCCGCCATAAAGTTAGTTCTAGATCTGTCCCTAACTCTAATATTCTCCCAACATGAGAAAAAGAAAGAAGACTAATTTTGAGTGAAACAAATAGGATTTAGAAGAACACACCTCTCATATTACAAGTAGAAGAATAATGCAGCTGGGAGTGGCTTTGTAAGAGTATCAACAACTTGTTTTGAGGTAGGTACATTATTGGCCTAAACTTGACCTGTTGTAACCTTCTCA